TAAATAGCCAGTGGAGGAGAAAAACTGCAATTTAAGGTTCCCCGTAAACATGATTTGTGACATGATGAAGACTTTCAGAGAGGTAAGCGCCACAATCATGCGTAATCTGTTGTGGCTGGTGCACAAACACAGTCAGCCAAATGAGAGTGGAATTCAATAAAAAGGCAATAAAATGCTGAGTCACTCCAGCGTAGTGCTGTTATTTTCAGCTTTCTCTGCAGGCAGTTTGGCCGCGATGTGTTTCCCCGTGTCTGTGGGGACGTTCGCTCTCAAGCCGAGTCTCAAGCGTCTTTGTCGTTTGATTGTTTCAGACCCGAAGCAGACTTCCTGGAGGCAATCTGTTGGTTCCCCATGGTGTTCTACACAGTGGGCTCCATTGACAAGTAAGAGAGACCAAGGCTGCCCGTTGATTTCGTTCACGCATCTTTTTTTTATCTTCTCCTCTTTCGCCGATCAGTCTGGACAGTTTGCTGCGATGTGGAGTCACTTTCGCCGACACCATGGTGGTGGTGGACAAAGAGAGCTCCATGATCGCAGAGGAGGACTACATGGCCGACGCGAAGACCATCGTCAACGTCCAGACCCTCTTCAGGTCTGCTTTGCACTAACTTTTCTCTGCCATCTCACACTCCATCTTAAACTGGGTTTATTTTTTTCAGTAAACATTACTCTCCGTTTCTTTGTGCCAGACTTTTCCCAGCTCTTAGCATCATCACGGAGCTCACCCACCCAGCCAACATGCGCTTTATGCAGTTCAAAGTCAAAGACCATTATTCTCTGGCTCTGTCCAAACTGGAAAAGGTAAAAGATTTTTATCATCAAACTTTCACTCTCATTCTTTTTTCTCAACAGAGACTCATAAAGAAAAAACACACTGACAGCAGATTGTTTTTCATTATAAAAGCTGTTTTTCAATGTTATTATAGTCTTTGATGTGCCTGCTTATATAATATCCCCTCAGGCATCAATAATAGTTACAAATAATTCACGCACATCATTTAATTTAAATCTTCCACTAGTATCATTTGTGCCAGGGTTTTATAAGGTTCCCTTGCAAGTAGCAACTAGTAGTTGCATTATCGGTTTCCTCAATGAATGCACAAAAATGAAATGCAAAATGTTCTTGTCTAATGCGACTAGTATAATCAAAGGAAATTCTCTGTGTCTGTGTTTTGGACTTGCAGAAGGAAAGAGAGAAGGGGTCCAACCTGGTGTTCATGTTCCGCCTGCCCTTCTCTGCAGGGAAGGTGTTCAGCGTCAGCATGCTGGACACTCTCCTCTACCAGGTACCTCACAAACAAACTCTTCACCCAAGCTGAAATGCCACATTTAGTCTATTTTTTTGTTGACTTACAACTTACACGTATACCGTGCCCTCCTCTCAGTCATTTGTGAAGGACTACATGATCTCCATCACCAGGCTGCTGCTGGGTTTAGACTCCATGCCTGGCTCAGGTTTCCTTTGTGCTGTGAGTAGCCAGGATACAAACACTTGGAATTCAGACTGTTTGGACTAATAAGTGACTGCGAGGCTGATTATTGTTTTGTGTCTAGATGAAAATCACAGAGGATGACTTGTGGATCCGTACGTACGGCCGGCTCTACCAGAAACTGTGCTCGTCCACCGGAGACATCCCCATGGGCATCTATCGGACAGAGGCACAGAGACTTCCAGTCTCTGAGGTGTGCTGCTGCTTATCTGAGTTTTGTGGCCACTTAAATAAACAAGATGCCAATCTGAAGCTCTGCTAGCGGCCCCTACAGGCCGTAATGTTCATTACATCAAACAAAAGGTGGAATAAAATATGGTGATATTTAAGGAAAGATAGGTCACATGTCAATTAAATTATCTACAATATAACATACAGGATAATAAGAAAGGGCTGAGCTACTTTTCAAATGTTCCTTAATTTAAAAAACGTCACTCCTATTCCAATCCTTTTTGTTAATTAAATAAAATACAAAAACTTAAAAGCATTTTCATTTCATTTTTTTTAGAGTAAATCTATCCAAATGCTGATTCAATTTGTATGTGAAGTAAATGCATAATTGTGGGGACACAATTAGATATTTAGGTTTTTGACTTGTGTATCTATCACGTGTGATACACTCTAGTTTTAATTTCCATTCTTAAAGATTAACCAGAGAAATCACTAGTGAAGAACTGACTCAATCAAAAGAAATTGTGTGTGTGTGTGTGTGTGTGTGTGTGTGTGTGTGTGTACAGTCCCAGGTATCCATCACAGTGGAGGACTACGAGGACACCAGAGAGCCCAGGGAGCCCCTGCTGTCCCGGACAAACGCTCACCGGAACAGCACCTCCTCGGAGCCCATCTCCACCTCCTCCCACTCCTCGGACCACCCGCTGCTTCGGAGGAAGAGCATGCAGTGGGCACGGCGGCTGAGCAGGAAGGGGGGGCGGGGCTCCAGCGGGGCCAAGGGGGGTCCGGGCAGCGCGGCAGAGAGGATCAACCAGCAGAGACTGACCCTGTTCAGACGCTCCGAGAGGCAGGAGCTCAACGCGCTGGTGAAAACCAGGATGAAACACTTGGGCCTTTCTCCGACTGGTTTCAGTACGTTTGCTTATGACCTCCAGTTCACTTCTAGTTGATTAACACTCAGTACATTTGTTACTTGCTCGTGCTGTGATTGTTCTCTGGTGTAATCAGCAGGGTTCGTTGTTTCTAACTATGAGCTAACAACATTTATTTACAATTTTTATATGGATTTGTGATCATTTCCATTTGAGCCATTTAATATTTATGTGCATCAGAAGTAAACATCCTCTACATTATTTTGATGGCTACCAGACTGATTAATCCAGTACAGTGGTTAACACTAGCCCCGCCGTAAGAAGCTACAACAACTGCAACATGCACATCAATGCATTGGTATTCAAAATCAAACAATCTTATTTATATTCATGAATACCGTTTTTGCATCATCAACACTCCTGATACTTTAGGCAGACTTTTTCTACCCGTGTTATTGTTGTTGTTGTTGTTGTTGTTGTCGCCTTCCGGTCCTGTGACTCGCAGTAACGAGGCCTCTGCTACGTGGATGTGGATGATGCGCAGCCGGCTGTATATCCTGTGCCTGTTTCATTTCCTGCATCCCTCACCGCTCTTCTTCCCGCCCCAGATGGGATGACAGACCAAGGGAACAGGCTGTCTTACATCCTCATCAACCCGTCTCCAGACACCAGACTAGAGCTGCACGATGTCGTGTGAGTACGCAACGCCAATTCCAATTGATTGCACTGTAAAAGGAAAACGGCATGGCAGCTATTAAAAGAGTTGCTCCCCCCTCTCCCCCGTCTGCAGGTACCTCATCCGGCCAGACCCCCTCTCTCTGGTCCCCAATCAGAGCAGCAGCAGGAAGTGCAGCGCTGGGATCTCAGAGAGCCACAGGTTCAACACGCAGGACAGCACACATCTGTGAAAGAAAGAGACAAAAGACAAATAAACCGTCACAGCACTGCCGGCGAGAGGAATCTCAGAAATCCAGAAACGGTTAGACGGAAGGGGACGCAGCCGGACGGCACGTTGCACCCCCCCCCCGCCCCCCCCCATCACACATTTTCTCCACATTGTGTCAGGGTGAAGTGACAGGTGCCTGCCTTGCATGGACCTCTTCTATAACGTCGGGAGGGTTTTGTTTATGAACCTTTCTATTTTCAAAGCGGAGGGGCTGCGGACACAGAAGTGCATTTAACGAGTAACTGTATGTATTTAGATCCGTGTATGTGCATGTTATGTACTGCATCATGTATGTGCAGAGTGTGCATGTGTGTGTACTGTATGTACTCTGCAAGTGTGTGTGACTGTGTGTGTGTGTGTGTGTGTGTGTGTGTGTGTGTGTGTTTGTGGACCATGAGCAAGATACTGCCAATTTGACCAGGACAGCAAAAAGCACTCAGCTGCCAAATGAAAGGGTGTATTTTCTGTTCCCTTCTCTGTGTCGTAGGCGTGTTCTGTCAGACTTTATGTTGTTTGACGTATTTAACGCGACACGACAGTGCGCACAACTTTTCATTTGGGTCTTCATGAAGGCTTTCCTAAACGTCGTACCGGTCGCTTACACAGTCAAACGAACACCTTATTTGTCCCTCACCAGCAGCGGAGGAATCCAAAGAGTTACAACACTTACAATAACCCGACATCGGCAGACGGAAAGCGCGCACTGTTGGGCCGAGGCGCTCACTTTCATCGCCATCAGATGTGTGCTGTCGTTTCCACTCGTGTTCTCTCCGAACAAACCTTTTTGTGAGTTTACTGTTGAAGTCGAGCCCTCACTGCTCCGGTCGGTCGGTGTGAGCTGCTTGCTCCTTGTGGCCTGCATGTAAGAGATGAAGGAGACAGAATAACCTAGAAATAACCTGACGCCATCCAGTACAATAGCCCTGCAATAAATACTACTGTTGTGAAGCTTAGAATTAAATGGATTTAGAGAGGGTAGTGACTTTTCATGAACGTGACTATAAAATATTTGCTGTATTTATTGCATAATAAATATCCACTTTAACAAGTAATCAAGGATTTGATTACAATCTCTAAAGAAAGTTTTGTTTTTAGTCTGAAAGATAATCATACTTTCTGCTGAGTGAGATCACTCTTCTTATTCAGTCTACCTTATTCCTTTTCAGTTGTTTCACGAAAGGAGGATTTACTCTGTTAAATTAAAGTACATTACCTGTTAGGGTGGAAATTTATGCAGTTTGTTTACCAAGGACTTACGGACTTTAGTCAGAGAGTCTGAATGTGACAAACGGGGGGAAGACATGTGGTGGGGATGCAAACCTGCAGCCCTGTCAACACCACTGCTGTAGCTTCAGTGCCAATATATGTAGAGATTAAAGTCAGTCATTACAGCTTGCCATGGCTTTATTGCCTTTGTGGGGTCAATTTGTGCAGCTTTAACCAGTATCTCCTGGGCAATTACACTCATTATTATTTCCATTTTTGTTACTTTATCCTTTCATTTCTAAATGAAACCCTTGATTGTCAGACAGAGAATGTCTTTTGTGTGGTCATGTTCCGGAGCTATTTTTGCCGCAATACTGGCAGTTAATGGCCCCAATTCATTGCAACGCCCCCAGGCTCACCAACGGCCGCACAATCCTGCTACTTTAGACGAGCCCTATCTCACCCTAGCTATATTTTTATTGTTGCTGCTCGAGGGAAGTAATAATTACTATTAAATAGAGGGATTTACTAAGATAAAAGTTATAATAAAACTCAAATAAGGATAGAAATTTAGAAAAGTTCTATACCAGAGCAAAAGTCACTGGGGCAAAATGTGTAGAGGTTGACGGCAGTTACGGGGTGTGTCTGCAACTAGGCCCCAGTTCACTTGACCTCATCAATCAAAGTCCTTTGCCCTTTGTGTTGCTCTGCTCTGTTGTTCCCCTGAGCTTTGAAAAGCCAAAGACACTCTTCATCTTGTATTTGCTTTTCTTTTTAGTCGCCTTTCGTTCGCCTCCTGGGAGTGCCTTCATATCATTTCTGGCAAAACAAGATCTTTTCAGTACGTGACCTTTACACATTCCTGACTTAGTAACCCCTCCCCCCCACCCCCCCCTTTTTTAGGTGGGGCTTTTGTACAGTGTATACACTCTTTGTGATGTGAGAATGGGGGTGTGGCTTGGAACACTTTAAAACGGAAGCTTTCTGCAAACGCTCACACGGCAAACTGCGGCCGAAGAAATGGCAACCAAAGCGGTCAGCGTGCTCATCACCGGAGCCAACAGAGGCCTCGGCCTGGAAATGGTAAAGCAACTGGTGGAGGCGTCCCGTGACGTGAGGAAGCTGTTCGCCTGCTGCAGGGACCCAGATGGACCACGAGCCGAGGTAAGGCCTCGCTTCCTCTGTGACTCATCGTGCTCCTCGACAGATACGAGAACAGATGGACGGCAGTGGTCGCAGATGTGTTCAGATAAAGCAAAATTCATGTTACTATCACAACTGACATGCAAAATCTATATAATGTGATTCATTAATGTGTGCATCACTTTAATTCTGCAGTTGGTAGCTGGCTTTAAGGACTTGTATATGGTCTATTAGTAACAAGTTGCATAAGTCATTCAATAAATGGGGTGGCATAAAAAAATAACAGTAAAATGCACTTAAGTACTTTCTACTGAGAGTGAGCAAATACGATCAGTCCACTAATTGGTAGATTTGGTCTAATTTGGTCTAAAAAGATTTTATGCTTTTCTTTCATGCTGAATGATTTATTTTCCAGAAACGCTATTAGAACTGCTGCTTTTGTGTGATTCTTTGCGCAATAAACTCAATCCTGATAAGGTGACTAATCAACAACCTGAAGTGTTAGTTGACTAAGAAGGTCCTCGGGCAGCTGAACTCTCCCCCACTGGATAAAAGTGAGCTCAAGTGATCAACCGCGTGTGGGATTACGAACAGGTCTTGTCTCTGTGTGATTCCAGGCCTTGCAAACACTGGCAAAGAAGCATCCCGACGTCATCGCCGTCGTCCGTCTGGGTACAAGCTGTCTGCCTTCTGTTGTATCCCGTTAGACCGGCTCCTTTGTCCCGGCACGCTATTGACCAGCCCTTTCTTTCTCCCTCCCTCAGACGCAACTGACCTCTGTAGCATCAAACAGTGTGCACAGCAGGTGGGCTCCGTGGTCGGGACGGGGGGCCTCAACCTGCTGATCAACAACGCGGCCGTGGCGGTTCGAACCACCATGCAGGAAACCACTCCTGAGGAGCTGCAGCACATGTTCAGCACCAACGTCATGGGCCCCATGAACATCATCAAAGTAAGGCAGAGGAAGCCGTGACACGCGGAACTCGAGCCGCCGGTGGTTGGAAGGTTTCCTCGACGCTGACCTTCTGACCTCTGGTTCCCCGTTAGGAGTTCCTGCCTCACCTCCGTGCTGCGGCGAAGGCCAGCGGGACGCCCGGGATGTCCAGCTGCAAGGCAGCCATCGTCAACATCTCCTCCATCCTCGGTTCAATCGAGGGCGCAAAGGAGTCTTACGCCACCTACCCTTGTTTCTCCTACCGCGTCAGCAAAGTGAGTACTGGGAGAACTCTCAAAGGCTTCCTCTTCCTCGGTGGTTCACCATCACCCTCCGATTCCGATACCCTCCCCCTTTATTTCCTTCTCAGGCGGCTTTGAACATGCTGACCCTGTGCGCCTCAGAGGAACTGAAGAAGGATGAGATCCTGCTGTCCGTGCTGCACCCTGGGTGGGTGCGCACAGACATGGGCGGAGAAGAGGTGAGTCAGCAGTTTTCACACAGGAAACAATGAAGCGATGCCGGGGAACGCGCTGAAAGATCATCTACCTTTATTAACCGCGAAGCACGACATCAACATCACGTCATGAGATTTCTTATTTCATGCAGCTCACTAACAAAAACTAAGCTGTTCCCATGGTGGCAGATTGTTTTACAGAGAAACGTTTCAATAATGTTTCAGGATTTTGGTATTTAGAACCGATATTAAAGAGTTTTACACACTACTGCGTCTGATATCTGACAACGTTTATTTATATAGCACCTTTCATTCATGTCTGATACCACACAGAGCAAAGGGAAACACACACCAGGATTCAGAAACACTTAACATTACATCGAACATCGAACATGTGATGCAGCACAGCACTGCAGTTTCTTAAAGTTAAAAGTAATTTAACATTGCAAATGATTTGCACTCCCAATCCTCCTGTGGCCATACAGACTCGTGGCTCAGTTAGCATAGGCCCTCCGTGCATTCCCTTCCAACATGACAAAATAAGACACAGATCAGAAAAGAAAGTGTCCCAGCTGGTCCAGAACTAAAATGGCAGATTGCGTATGTTCATATTTGTTTTTACGGTTAGGAGCGACAGATCTCAGTGCAGAACTGGTCCATGAGTAGAGACATTAGAGACGACCTCCTGCGACAGCCTTCATGTTAACCGTGTGCGTTTTCCAACCACCAGGGGGAGATCGACGCTACGGAGAGTGTGCGGGGGCTGCTCGGGGTGATGGCCTCTCTCACGGAGAAGCAGAACGGAGGCTTCCTGGACTGGAAGGGCAGGTCCATCCCCTGGTAGCTTTGAAGCGCCCGCTTCAAAAACTGCACTCAATCACTAAATAAACCAGTACTTCTTGTCATGACTTTGTCGTGCTCATTTTTACACAGAATCCTGCTCTTAAATAGGAAATAAACTTCTGTGCTCAATGAGTGTTTTCTTTATTTCGTTAAATCACCACTTGGCGCTGTTCCACACAGCCACCTTGGCGGGGCAGATCTTAAGCGGTTTGGGGTTGTTCCCGTTGATGTTGGCTCCGGGGCAGAAGAAGGGGTACATCTTCTCAGTGAAGAAGTCGGCGAAGGCGTAGACGGGCGTCATGGTGACGGGGTTGGAGAAGGTCACCTCTCCGGCGTCGTAGTCCAGCTGCACCCTGACTCGCGTCAGCTCACCCTGGGGACGCAGCGGGGTGCTGGGCTTCGTCATGGCCGAGTACTCGCCCTCGTAGTGCGAGATCATCCAAAACCCGCCGTCGGGACTCCCGGATATCCGGCCCTTCCGGTCGACGGACTCCTTGGCCACTCCGAGCATCCAGTCCGCCTTGTCGCCCACCTCCACCTCCCAGGCGTGGCGGCCCGAAGTGAAGCCCTCCGAGCCGAGCAGGAACACAAAGTGGCCGAAGCGTTCGGGGTTGTCCGGGAGCTTCTGGAGGCTTCCGCTGTTTGCGACACAGGTCAGGTCTGGAGAGAGGGACAGCCAGGAGTAGGCCGTGTTGGGGTCCAGGCTGATGGGAGCTGAGAGGGAAATGAACAGCAAGCAGGCAGCGACTGAGTCAATATTCATAGATAAGATGGCCACACACGGGTCTTCCTCGAGGTCAAACTGTTAACTAACACCTAACTGAACAACTCAATAATACTTCAACGCGTCAGCAAATGTGCTTACTGTACTGAACCAGGTCCGCCATCTTCTCCCACACGTGGTACTTGAGGGAACTGAGGTGCTTGGCCACATTTATCAGTGCACCCGCCACTTTCTCTGGACTATTCAGTGGCATCTGTGCTCTGTGAGGAGAATCACACGCAGGAATCTATCAACACACCGAACAACTAGCACCTTTCATCTGGTATTCAGGACAGCGGAGCAAGACACTAAAGCCGCTACCTTTTCTTTGTCTTGGTATAATTCTGAAATCGAGAAGAAAAAGAAGGTGTAAACAAAACCGTTTGGATGGTTAAAGGAATGAAGAGAGAAGCATTTACAGTCACTAACCTTAAGGAAGAGCGCATCGCTGGAAGCGATCTCATTCTCGATCGCTATGACGGCGTGCGAGAAGATGAGGATCCCTTTGGTGATGCTCTCCGACCTTTTCCTCTGCAGCTCCTTCTTCTCCTCCTCCTCCTGTTGCAGGGCGTCCAGTCGAGCCGTCTCCTCCTTCTGCAGAAACTCCCGCAGCTGCTCAAACTCCTCTTTGATCTGCTTTTCTGTGGCCTCAGTCTGGTTCTAGCACACGCAGGTACAGTATAAGGGTCAATGAAGGAATACACTCTTACCTGTGGCAGCCTACATCTCGAAGAAATAATGCCCTTTATTCAGATTTATCCAGCCTGTGTACTGTATATCTTGTTTCATGTAATAAAACACACAATCTGATAGGGATGCTGTATCACACTTGATCAAAACAATCACGATTCGAGAACTTGTGCCCCGGAGACACAAAAGAGCTGACATGTTTACACACTAACAAGTCAGTCAGGTCGACGGGCCTGCTGGTCCGCTGGAGTTTGTTGATACCTTGATGTGCACCGTTGTGTCATCACTCTCCTGCTTGGCTTCATACAGGCAACGCAGGTGTTTCTTCAGAGGAATCAGGTCATTCTTCAGCTCTGCCTGCAGGGTGCAGGAGGAGAACGTTTCAGACAACATGCAGCGTGTGGTCAGGTGCCGGGACTGAGCTTACGGACTCCGAAGAGAAAGCGAGCGTCAGAAAAAAAAACTACTAAATCTCCCCGGGGTTAAATCTGGTGATCACAACGCTGAAACTCCCACCAATGCACGTGGTCCTTTAAAAGCAAACAAACAAACAAACAAAGAAGAACACAATACCTTAAAGTCCTGCGCTCCCTCCTCCAAAGGACACACTCGGTGTCCCTGATGCTTCTTGGATGTGTGACACACGCAGCACAGGGCTTCAAGGTCGTCCAGACAGAAGAGCTTAAGAACTTCCCTGTGGGCGACGCACTCCTCGTCCACCTTCCCTTCCTGCTCCCTCGCCCCGCCGGCCGCCCCCGCGGCGCCGCCCGCCCTGCGGTCCTGCTGCCTCAGGAAGGTGTCGGACACGTTCTTCAGCGCCAGGCTGACCGTGGGCTCCGTCAGCGAGCACTTCTTCCTGCAGATGGGACACTCGCGTCGGGCCTTCTTCTTGTTCCAGAACTGCTGCAGACAGGCCCGGCAGAAGCTGTGGCTGCACTTGAGGACGACGGGGTCCCGGAAGATCTCGCAGCAGACGGCGCAAGACAGGTCCTCCTCCAGCACGGAGCCCGAGCGCGAGGACACGGCCCGCGGCCGAAGGGCCGAGGACACCTTGGGGCTCTGGAGGAAGGAAAGTATTCCCGGCTGGGAGGAGGCCCGCGGCCGCAGCGCCATGGCCCGTTTTGTTTTTTTAGGTAGCTGAAGCAGTGAATTGCAGAGGAGGAGCGCTCCTCTCTGAATGCAGTGGGTCCAAAGACTAATCTAGACCAGCTTATGAGCAACCACGGTTATAGACCAACAGGGACTCGAGGAACAGGTTTACTTCACTCGTAGTAAATACAGGACACGTGACCGGCCCTCGTCCTTCAGCGCAGCAAGGCTCTGAGAAACAGAACCTTAAAAGGTTTTAAAAGGCGTGTGTTATTAAACATGAATGTCGCTGGGCAGTGATCTAGTTTTTAGGCAAAAGAAAAGCAGAAGGGATTTTAGAAAGCGAACAGAACTCAAAAAGTACATTCAGAACCTGAAACAAACGCTAAAGGTAATTCAGTGTTGAGCCCGGGCAGGAGGCCTGGAGGTGACCCTGCAGAGTTTGGCCAGCATCATCAGGTTCACTGAGGTGGATCTTATTACGTTAGCGCTGACACGCCAGTGGATTTCTACTTAAATGTCATTTATATTTCAGGAGGACACGGGTCAGGAGAAACAAAAACACACCCTGGGGGTTTTCTGTGAATAATTTTTTTTTTTTTAAAGAGCACAAAAAGCAGTTAATAGCTAATATGTATGAACGAGATTTCCTCAACCACCCAGTTTGTGACCTACGAAGGAACTTTCAGTTTAATGAAACTGCAGAGCTCTGTGTTGCGTTAAGGAATAATATATATATAAGGAATAATAATAATAATAATAATAAGAGAAGGAAACCTGCCATGTTGGTGTTATTGCATTATAATTGGACATTGACAACAGTGTAATACAAAGCCATTAAAATAACTTGTTTTTCTCAGTGTTAGTGTTCTAAAATGAGTTTCATTACATTTAAATATTTCGTCACATCTGAAGAATGAAACAAAACTACAAAACAGCGTCATACATTTGCAAATACTGAAAAGGTTAACACCAGAAGGGTTTAAGACGTGTGTTTACCTACGCTGAGTAGTGGGTGCAGCATTGCCTGCTGATTTCTCTTTGAGTCACACAAGTCCCTGCAACACGTGAAGAAGTAGTTTGGTATCACTGAGCTCCCAATGACAGAATATGTCACACTACGCATCAGAATTCATACTTCATAAAATGTCAACATAAAATGCATGGAATGAGAAGAAATGAAGGCATTTTGTCCTGAACACTTTCCTTTTACACATCTACTCCCTCACAACGTTCTCTTTAATACTGCCTTCTGTAATGCTTCAAAATAAAGTAGTTGCAACACAAGATCAATTTCTTCATCCATCACACAAACCCTGTTTCAAAAGAATACAAACTTCACATCACTTTATATAAAAACACTAGCCATAAAAAAATATGTCAAAACGACCCACAAAACTGGAACCACTTGGCTCCTCTTTCACCTTCAATAAAGTAAATTAACACAGATGTATGAAAGTTAACTCCATTACAGCAGGTAGCAATTGAAGATGATCTTTTAGTCAGCAAGCTAATCTGAGTTTTGCAAATACTATACTTTTTTTTAACCAAATGAAAATAACATAAAACCAGCATATTTCCGTATGAAGATACAAATATAACAACAGCACATGCTTGTAAAAACTGATCCGTAACAGTAACAGCGAGGGGTTCAGGAAGTCACTGGGACGCCTTGCATTGTGCATTGTGCCGCTCACAAGGTGAGCTGCAGTACGATGGCTGTTCACCTCTGTAGTCGCTTCAGAGCGCAGTGTGGGGGGAACAAAGAGAAAAAATCACTTCCTTTTTTTTTTTACGAATTAATGATCTACATTTGTGTCGCCTTGCTCTGCTCCCATAGAGACCTGTGCTCTGCTTGTTGCACCAAAAAACAACGACATGCAGGTTCATGTGATGTGTTCAAAGGGAAAAGCTCATCGGCGTGCTTGCAGTTTCGGGTAAAAAGCCGGAAGACAACTAAAAGCACTTGGGAAGTCATCAGAGTCCTCTTCTTCTCCCATTAACTTCCACTATCCTCTTTGTCTGGGCAGAGGCTCACCCAAGGGCACACTGAATTAAATGAAAATAGCGGTATACACTGGAATAAAAAACCAAACTCATGACGGCAGTGTTGGGTTTCCTAGTAGTGCTGAATGTTGAGGGTGCCGCACACAGGTTGCTCTGCTCCCCGACGGCGTCGGACGTTACACTCGCCCGACCTTCGCGTCGCCGATGGCCCCCCAGACGTCGAAAACAAACTCGTCTGGGAAGGCAAAGTCCCCGAGGGTTTGATCCAAAGCCTCTGCAAACTCATCCGGGTTCTTCTTGTCCTTTCCAAGCTCCACCATGGTGGCCGCTGAGGAGAAATAATTGTAAAACAGCGAGCGACACAAGTCCAAACTGTCCCGCCTGCAGAGCCAACACTCATGCACTTACCCAGCTCGCTGTCTCTGATCCCCATGTAGCTCTCAAGCAGGTCATCCACCTTCTCAATGGCCTTCTCCTCAAATGCAGAGGGCTGGGAGGGAAAAAACGAAATGTCAATGAGGAGACTCAGGCGACGCAGCTGGGTTATAATGTCTTGAAGACAGAGACCGATTAGTTGTTCAAAAGGTGATATGAAAACACTCACCAGTTCCTCCACCGTAGCGGGACCTTTGGAGCGCAGCCGCAGAGTTCCTCTGCCGGTCCCCAGCTGAACTCCCGAGGCCGACCTCGACCCTCCGGACCGCTGGCCGATCATATCTATGCATCATAATAAAACGGAGATTGCTTAGTACGGTTTCCTCCTGTTATACTCCCGTTTGCACAGTGCTGAACGTAACGGAGATCCAAACCCCTACCAAAGGCCTTGAGGGGCTCCACCAGCTTGATTATGAACTCCTTCCCTTTGGGTAGCTCCTTCAGCATCTTGGCCACCTCATAGTGCCGACACCCAATCAGGCGATGGCCGTTGATGGATTCGATCATATCCCCCACGTTGATGACCTGGATCTGGTGAACGACGCTCCCCTCGCGGATTCTCTGAAAGCAAAACATGGATGAATAATCCCCTCTTCAACTCGTCACTCTACGCCTGCCAAGTGTAATATATTGAAAATAAGTCCTTTAATCCCAGTTATGCTTTTCTTTGTGGGTCCTCGAGTCAAAAAAAAGAAAATTTGCAGCCAAGTCAGCCTTGCTCACCTTGATGAAAGCATAGCCAGCTCCATTATCAGTTATTGTCAATCCGAGTGCATCCTCTCCTTTATAGACCTCAATTTCCTTTCGCTGTCCTTTAATGTGGGCAAAAATAAAGTCCTCTAATCCAATCTGACCTCCCAACAGTTTATCCATGTCCACCTTGTGAGTGTTCAGCGTGCAAAACATAACCTGTGGAGGGACACAGCAAACAAGAACAATTCACAGCGATGAGTGCTACCGTAGCGTATTCAAGCGGATCCATTCATCGTCACACTCAGAAGGGACTCACCTCCGCCGGCGGTATCCCGAAGGCCTCGCCAATCTTGGCGTAGAGCTCCCGCACGTTACTGAAACCCTCGATGCGGCCCGTGGGGCTGCCGTGGGCCAGCTGAGTGTGGAAGATGAGGCGAGGTCGCATGCTGCTGTGCGGCGGGGGCAGACCTTCGGAGGCGGCGCCCTCCCCTAGACCAATGACGCCTCCGTCCAGGCCATCCATACCTGGCACGCTGAGACCCGCACGGATGGGCTCCGCTTCCTCGTTCTCGACTAACGGGGACGCCTTCTTCCTTCTTCCCAAACCCAGAGGCATGATGGTGGTGGTGGTGGTGCTGCGGGGAGAGCGGCTTCTCGAGGGGGAGAGGGGGTGTTATGCTACGATCAGAACCAGCATACACCTGTTCAGCCAAAATCAGCTGCAGGTCTGTTGGGTCTTTAGGTCACAGTAAGTGTGCGGTCCTCCAGACCAGCTCGGATGCTGCCTCAACCAGGCCTTGAATGGATATAGAAGTGCACACATCAGAGCAGTTTACATGGCTGGATTGGTGGAGTCCAGCAGCCTGCAGCGGGACGTCCACAGCTGTTAAAGAGAGACAGGAATCCTTTAATTCTCATGCATTTACCAAAGTATTGACATCACGGTTATAACAGCTGCTCAAGCGAAACATGCTTTGTAGTTACATGGTAAAACGCTATTATGTTGGTTTATAATAACAATGACCTAATCATCTCTTCACTAATGTCATACCTTGGGTTCAATTGTCAGGGCAACAGATATAACGCAAGCTAATGTTAGCCGCTAGTGAGGCACATTTTCCACACAGCTTTGACAACACAAGCGATGACAACTACCATGAAGCTAGCGTGCCGCTTCTACAACCGGGTGCTAATTAAACCGGTAACTGTTAATCCCTCACGTGTAGGCGGGGGGGGGCGCGCTAAGTAGCTGCTTTACTATTTTCGCTCAGTGTGAGCAGTAAGGGGGTGAACATGGCAGGCCGGCCGTTCTTACCGGGGAGCAGGAGTTTTAGCCAACTGTCGTTAGCTCGCCCTGCTAGCTTAGCTTGTTACCGTTAGCCGCCGCGAGTTGTCAAGACAAAACGACGTTTCGGTTGCAAACTCCGGCGCGTCCAGGACGCTTTGCTGCTCCGCTCCCGACTTGTCGACTCGGCGCGGGAGAGATTGTGAGAACCGCGTCCTGCCCGTGAATGCTGCTCTAGATTTAACGTTAGCTTTCTGTCAGCCCAGCAGGGGTGGAACAATGACGCCTTCAGGCTCCCCCGTAAACCCGCATTACCCAATTTAGCGACTGTTCTACATTCGTGAATATGACTCGACCAACCACTCTGGACTTAATCTGAAGAAGCATCTCAGTGGCTGAGGTGCGGTTTTAATTCCATCATATTTTTGAAGACTGTCATATACAGTAGGGTATTGTTTTGCACACATGAGTAGTAGTAGTTATGAAGATATACTGCCCTCTGGTAGTGTCGATGCATAACTACACTGCTGGCCGCTGTAAACGATTTACGTTGAAGGTTCCTACCGGACGTCTTGCTGTCACATGTGAACAGATCCGCGCACAAATCACTTATCACGTTGTTCGCGTTCTACGGTGAACGACGCCAGTTAAGGGGGTCCGGGCATGACGTATGATTGACCTTCTGTTTTTCATTTTGTAAGATAAACATTTTAATTTTGTGTTACTGCCTTATTTCATTGAAATGTTGGTCCGTGTTAGTGTTGCATTGAAAGAAAAAATGCAATGCGATACACAACGTCAGCTTGTTCCATTGAACGACTTTTAAAGCCAGAAACCGAGTCAGTTTTCCTTCAAAGTAAAGGCTGTTCGTTTTCAAACGTGTTTGCACCATGTAATTGATCCCAACATCAATAACCATCTAGCCTCAATAATGAGCATATTATATAACTGTAATATAATGTTTCTGCCTGTTTGCTACAACGGATTGTGAATAAACTGTCAATCAACTTAAACACTGATATTATGTGCACATAATTAATTAAATTATTTATTTATTTAATTAAAGCCGCTACTGCGGTTTGGGTGAATGTTACAGGCAATTGTATGGACACAAATGATGAGCCTGAACTTAACTTTATATCTGACCTTTACATACGAGCTAAATTTCATTAAAAAAACAAGGCTTTTAAAGATGAATTAATAAGAAATGTGCTTCAAAGTCGAGAGAAAATCAAACATTGAGGACATAATTGGGTAGATATTTGTCGCTTTAATGTGGAAATGCAAATCATCACAGCATAGGAAGAATCTATTAAAAATGTCATTATCAATTCGTAAAAGCTTTGTTGTTAAAATCAAAATATCTTGAATCCCAACCTGAGGCATCTCAAAAACAAAAAATACAGGAGCTGAAACTAGATAACCCACTTTTTCCACTTAAAAAGGAAAACAATAAGAATGTTACACATTACAGAGATTACACATCTCTACATTTCATGTTAAACCACATGTAAGAAAATTAAAACTCCAGCAGGAGCAGTCAAATACTTAAAATACTTCAAATGTGAAAATAAAATAACTGACTTACAAATGTCTATCATTACAATGTTCAAAAGGTGCACAAAGCTGAATATGAATGATAGTTAAATATATATTTTAGGGTTTCTTATGAAGTGTGGAACTTCACAGTTCCAAATGCTGCACATCTCTGAGCGCATTGCGTCTGTTAAGAGCTTTAAGAGAGAAGACAAGATAAACAAAAATAGATTCTTGGGCTTTTGAACTGTAGTATTTTTTTACATCTCAGTCTAAGAAATATTGCCATAAACCATGATGGGCAAAGAGAACAAAAACAACTTACTTGGTTAAAGCAGTCGAACAGACATAATTACAGGGAACTGGAATATCCAACTAATTAGTCATCGAGCACCCTCAAAAGGGCACAAATGATGTAAATAGCTTGTTTGTGACACACATTACAGGATACACCAATGCGCTCAACATACTTTTAGAAAACACACATTATCATATAGGGACGATTATTTGGCACAAAAAGTCTCCCTACAGTTATTTTATATACGTGCTGTACTCCCAGAAAAAAAGGTATTGTGAAAGTAAACATTTTGCAAGGTCAAACACCAGGGATTAACCAGACTGAATTTGTCCTCTCATTAAAGTAATTGTATACATAAACTAAGAAATCCAACAATACAAAGTACTTCTCAGTGCGCTCTTCCTAAATGTATAATCAGGAATCATTCTCACGTAAGGTTATACAACTGCAGCTCCTCTGACGTAAAATTATTTTTTGCTTTTATGCATATTGTAAGTTATCCGTCAGTTTATGAGACTGTGACAATGAGTGCAGATAACGGACACACTGAAAGGACAAGAAAACCGTATTTAACGTCAATAAGTCACATCTGGCTGACCATGATCTGCTTCATAAAGTCAGATCCCGTGTTCTCACCTCTCAGGCTCAACACTGGAGAACAAAGAACACATCAAAACCCGTTGAGTCATGTAGTTCTAACTACATTCAAGCGTGCGGCACTGCACCTGAGGTATTGTGAATCAGCTGGCTGCATCCCAAAAAATACAAATCCCCAGTTACATTTATGTTAGATTTCTGAATGAACCCAAAGCAGCTGAAGTGGATCACGTGACCCAGTGTATCATTATCTAGCTACACGCTACATACATTAAAACTTTTTACCTCCCCATTTGAGCAGGCTGTACTCACTCGGTTTCCGAGTCCTAAGCCGGTCACCCAACTGAATAGATGTTAAGTAAGAAAAATCGATTTGGTGCTCGGAAGGTCAAATTAAACTCATCCGGAAGCATATCTGCCCTGAGCCTCAATCGTCCAGAAGACCCGCACTGAAGAGTGTGTTGCTGGAAGTGTTTAAGGTGTAGAGCGTAGGATCCGGGGCATTTAGCGGCGAAACTTCTCACTAAACATGAATCTAGGGCAAACGTTTGGCTTCGGGTCACGGTGGGAGGATCTGCTTGAGTGCATCTCGCGTGCTTTGGCCCAGCTTTTCAGGAAATTTCACCGAGAAGTCCAGGATCATGTCGCCCCTCTTCTCGGGGAACTTGGATATAGGGAGCCCTTCTCCAGAAATTCGCTTTTTCGTTCCAGGTCGGACAACGTCTCTGGAGGTCACAGTGATGGTGCGGCCGTCTAGCGTCGGCGCGTTGACCGTGCAGCCACACAGCGCCTGGAGAGAAAGAGAGACGAGAGCGAGTGGACGATGAGCACACTTCTTTCACTCAATATAATTGGGACGAGCAAGGAGTAGAACAAACCTCTGCGGCCACTTACTTCTCTGAGTGATATTTTGGCAGGATAGATTATATCCGAGCCCTCTCTTCTGAACACCGGGTGTGGCTTATCTTTAACCACGAACACCACGTCTGCAGGAATGTTGCTGGGAGTCTCGTCTCCCTCCTTGGGAAAGGTGATTTTCGTCCCCTCCTTCCAGCCGCGCTTGATGTCGACCGTTAAAATCTTGTCCTCGTTGCGCATCGTGCAGCCGTCCGGGTTCAGTCTCTTGCGGGAAATCTTCATCTTTTTGGTGCACCCCGAGAAGACCTCCTCCAGGCTCACCTTCAGCTCGTGCATCACCGGCGGGTCCTTCCTCCTCTCGTGTGGTCTGCGAGGAGCTCCCGGGTGGGATTTAAAGGACCTGGGAAAGCCTCCCGCTCCGCCCATTCTTCCCATGCCAAATGGCGCGAAGGGATCGTTGACGTCCATGTCCTCCTCCCCGTTTTGTGGAAAGAAATGGTCGAAAGGGCTGCGGCCACCAAAGAACTCCGCAAACATTGCGTGAGGGTCTCCATGGAAGGTGTAGTTGTAGCTTTGACCAGTGTGTCCTCCACCTCCACCACCGGCTGGACCCTTTAATCCTGCGGAAATAGTTGGATAGGGGTAGTTAAGTACGAGAAAAGGTTCGGCAGAAAGAGGTTGCAAAGGGTTTCGCAAATAATCCAAATTAACTTTCAATCAGCAAGTGTCACCATTGATTCTTTTTAGCCATTCAAATAAAAAACAAACACGTACTCTTTTCAAGTTACAACTTTACAGACGCTAATATTACATTTGCTCGAAAACATTTAATTGTTTAACACGAATTATTGACCCACACATAAAAAGCAATTCATGAATCAATTCTGAAAATGTGAGTTAAAAGACAAGCGCGTTCATCTTAGATATATTGTCGAGGTTTTAATGTCAACAAGTCACACATCTGTCTCGACCCAGGACATTTGCACAGCAGCACACTTTGTCGTTCCGGTGCCGGACGATGACCGGCACGCGCACAGTCGCTGTTTCCAGCACGTTCTACTGTGACGTCATCTCCTCACTGAGGGGACATCATGCTGGAGCCGCCAATGACCGACTGGGAGGACGCATCGGCCTCTAACGTTACGTTGCACCCAACAGATACGGGTAAATGCGCGGTTTGCGGGAGATCTTAACGTCACAAGTTGGGGGAGAAAAAAAGTAAAGACAGCGGGACACATTTCAACACCGAGCGCGCGCGTCCCGCGGAGCGGCGCTCTTTTGACGTTACCTTCTTCTCCGAGGCGATCGTAAACTTCCTTTTTCTTGGCATCGCTGAGGACGTCGTAGGCTTCGGCGATCTCTTTGAATTTATCCTCCGCGCCGGGAGACTTGTTTTTGTCGGGGTGGAAGCGCAGGGCCTGCTTTCTGTACGCCTTTTTTATCTCATCTTCGGAGGCACCTCTGGCTATCCCCAGCACTTTGTAGTAGTCTTTACCCATGTCGACAGCCCGTCACTTCTCCTCCCGCTTCATAAAGGCGTTGTCATTGTCTAGACGGTTCGGTTTCTGCCCCGTGGGCAAAACAACACGTCCTACGCGTCCGCGGCGCGCGGCAGGTTAGCGGGTCCGCCGACGCTGCAGCTGTCGCTGATGCGCACGATAGCCGGCTAGCTAGCTGTCAAGGTTAGCTTCCCTCACTTGTCACAGTCGGTGGACAACTTCCCACTGCTCTCCGCAATGTGGAAAGAAGAAAAAAAATGAAACTTAAAATGTACAAACACACAAAGACGAGGTCCGACTCTGAGTGGACGAGTGTTGGAGCCGAGCTGAAAACCATGAGTAGAAACTTCTGGAAGGAGCTGGTGCTTCTGTGTGTGTCATAACTTACCGAGTCAAGATGATTCCCTGCCAGCGACTTCCGGTATAGCTTCAACGACAGCAGTGGTCAGAAGTGGTCAGATGTATCTTTGAATTCAAATCACGGCACTCGCTGAAACAATTGGCAGCGGCTCATTAGGAAGGAAACATTGTCTTGTTTTAACTGCTGCTATAAATTTGCTTTTACATCGAAGGGCCCCTTCAGTAATATCGTGACACGAGGGCGCATGCGCATGTGCTTGCATCGGGCTCATCGGTAGTGGTAGAATGTAGCTGAATAGTCCCACATTTACTCTGTACTTAAGTATACTTCAGAGGCAGGCCTACTTTATTTGAGTAGTTGTATTTTATGCTACTTACTTAAATTACTTACTCGACTGCATTTATGTATTAGCTTTAGTTACTAATTACTTTGTAGATTCAAGTTATTTATATAATATATAAATCAAGTCATTATTTATGATATATTATTATAGGTCAAGCTTCCCAGTAGATGTAGCAATTAGCCTTTTACCAGCTGCAATATTAAATGGAATTACAAAGTAATGTATTACTTATTATAAACCATTAACACATATATATAAGTATATAAGTATAAGTATATATATATATATATATATATATATATCTTGTTTCTTGCTCTTCTGAGTTTGTATCCCTATGGTTGAGTGCACTTATTGTTGGTCGCTTTGGATACAAGCGTCAGCTAAATGATATGTAATGTAATGTAATATATATGCTCCTTACATGGGCCATAATGCGTGGTAATAGTTATGCTAATGGATTTGTAATAGTTTTGTAGTTTGATTAAGTTTACACTTAAGGTAGTACATTATTATAACTAAAGTAAAAGGTCTGAGTACCTCTTCCCCAACCGGTAATACATTATGAATGGATATTATAAGTTAAGTATTCATAATGAATATCAATTTTTTGTGTCAAGTGCACGGTTGCCAGTTTATTAGGTACGACTGCAACATTTCTCATAATACGTAAACTCTGTAATAAATAATACCTTCGTGAAAGTCCGTTATATAGTAATTCTATTTAATCTTCCCTGGACGAAACAGCCTTCGCCACTGCGAATATTCTTGACAGATACAAGCAAAACACGAACAATCAATGAACAAAACCTGATACACACAAATGGGTTGATATTTTTAAAGGAGTGCTTCGCGGTGCAACGCATGCTGGAATAAATATTGTGACTAAAGCAATAGGTGAACATGTTGGTGAAGAATATCAATGTCAGCACGTATAAATAATTTGTGACTGCAGTGGAGTGGGTGCTGGTGTTGGGTTATTGCACAGGTGGCTAAATGAACTCGGGGGTTGGTTTGTGCAACGAGACGACTCCCGGTGCTTCTGGTGCTCTGCAGCGCCCACCAGAGAGAGCGAGTGGAAATAAATGATATCAAGAGTGACTGGGGGGGTCTGCGATGATCAACACTGACAGTTTCCTGACTCGGGAGTTGTATAAGTGCTCGGTGGTTTAGTGTGTCGGAATCAGTTATTTACTCTTCAGTCCAAACTGTGGACTCCAAAAGGCACATGGGCAAAAAAACATTTTCAATTCCAAGACATAAAGACATTCAAATCTCCCTCCATTCATTTTGTCTCTTCCTGTCACCTCAAATCTTGCATTACATTAGGAATAGATCTGTATTTTGAATGTTGCAACGAGAGAGTAAAAATGAGTGACGCTCTGAGGACAAACGATCCCATGGAGTCTCACGTCACAGCATTCCTCTCACGTCACTCAAGTGTTGCCGCCTTTGAAAAAGAAGTCAGTCCTCCCTCAATACACTTCCGTCCTTCTGTTCGTCTACACGTAAAAATAAACAAGGTTTATCACAGTGATTTTTTCCAATATGAGACTCAAAAACGGCCTTGGAATGCATCAGTGATGCGGCTGCTGGCCGCTGGCTGGACTGCTGCTGCTGGTTATAAATAGACCACAGAATATACACATATAGTCGGCTATGTGGGACGATCACTTGACCCTGTGCGGCGAAAGGCATCTTTGATCTTCTCCCACCACGGACCTGCTTGAAAGTGCTTTGGAAAAACAACGCCCCTCATTTGGCGAAAAAACAAAAAAAACTTGACCCGCACAGGCCCGGAAATAAACCGGCCCGTCTTTGTCACGGAGGTCAGGCAGAGAAAAGAATATCAGCCACACAGGTGGTCAGGGGGAGGTGGTGTGAGGGGGTGGAGGTGTGTGGGGGGTTGGGGAGGTGTTCTTCTTCATCCCACGGATCAGCCTTTTAATGGGGGGAGGGAGGGGGGGGTCAAGCGAGGAGCGCAGCGGGCAGGAGACAGTGTCTCATAGGTCTGATGGGAGCCCGTTGGCATCTGTCGCTGGGCAGGGCTGCGTGTGGGCGCCCAAGGTTACCAAGCTGCTGCAGAGCGAATCAGGAGACTTATATTTAGCCTTGCAAATGGCGCGCTGTGGATTATGTCTTGGGGGGGCTCTCCGGTTTCGTCTTCAATGCGTTTTGTGCCCGTGAAGGGAGGGGGGCGCGGTGGGGGGGGGCTGCGGATCATGAAGAGGCCGCTATTCAGGTGAGGTGCAGGTTCAGTTCATGTTCTTGAAACCGGCTCTCCTTCCACTTCTTCTCACTTTCTTCTCCCCATTCTGTCAAATACAGCCTTTCCATCTGGGGGAGGAGGGAGTTGGTGGGTGGGGGGTGTTTATGGTCTCACATACTTCTTCCGGAGGTGGTGGGCTATTCAGAGAGCCCGAAAGGCACCATAGAATACACGTGTGAGTTGGGCTGACAGTTGTGTTAAGGCGGAGCGAGGAGCCGTTTCACACACCAGCAGAGGACAACCGGCGGGATTGGACGCATCACAGATTATTCATTTTCCCAGGCTACTGAGATTGTGGATTAAACAGCACCATGGATGTACTCGCCTTGGAGGCAAAGAGTGTAAACGGAGCAGATGCTGAGAAGAAGTCTTCATCGAGGCCCAAGCCGAAACCTCCCAAAAAGGCCAAAAGGATTGTTTACTTTGAGGTGGAGATCGTGGATTTAAAGACTAAGGAGAAACTGCTGCTGCTGGATAAAGTGAGTTAGCGGACGACGGAGGGTTTCCGGTTACGACCCAGAGTTTTATGTCGTGCATAATGATTTTAGGAGGTTGATCGTACTTTAATTGACTGGTGCATGATGATCACACAAGTCCTAAATAGAGAAAGGCACAAAGAGAACCCGAGAACTCGCACGTCATCGGGTTTACGACCATTTAGCACAGTTTGTCACCTCCTGGAGCTTTCCTTTTATAGTTTAAAACATCCCATGCCTGTTCTAAAAGTAGCACGGGCCCACTCGCCGACCGTCATCACTTTGCTGGGAAACGTGTTGGTTTTACATGAACCACGGGCTCATCACTGTGTTCTGCACAGAATAGTCTTCTTCACATCGGGCTCCGTCCGCTGCATCGCCTGCTGTCAGCTACTGTCTCCAGGAGGAGATTTCACTCTTCATTCTGACAGGAGCTTTCTGTTCCTGCTGCATTACAGGCCTGAGCTGCACACGGCCAACATGCAAGCAGGCACACGCACACGATTAGCAGCTGTGTAAATGTGCAGTCATGTCGTGTCAATAAACACACAGGGTCACATCGCTTATGAAAGTGGGAAATTTCAGCAGTAAAGATATTAATACAGATCTGACTTTTGTGTTTGTGGTATTCCCTGTTTTGTAAACTGACTGACTGAACACAGAAGTCAGCACTTGCTAATGTGGCTGATGATAATAGTGTAATACTAAATAAACCAATTCTATGGGTTTATCTCTATGTTTTGACTGCAGGTGGAGCCAACGGCCACTGTTTTGGATATCAAAGCCCTAGTTCACAAATCATGTAAGTCCAAGACAACTAAACTTGAATTATCCATTTGTCCCTTCCCTAATTCTGAATAGATGAGTAAAGTAAAGTTCTTCTCCATTTCCAAAGATCCAAAGTGGTATCCAGCCAGACAATCGCTGCGTTTGGATCCAAGTGCGTCTGCTTTAAAAAAACAAAAAACAAATACTGCATTAATTAGTGTTATTACGTGATGTCTCATCCAGCTGTTATGTTATTTAGAGGCAAAGTGTCTCAGGGATGAAGAAATTCTGCAGACACTTCCTGTGGGAACCACAGCCAGCTTTTACTTCAGGGATCTGGGACCTCAGCTCACATGGGGAACGGTGAGTCCACGCACACATGTTTGCATGTCACTATAAGTGACTTTCCAACCGTCTGTACAAATACTCAACTTTAAAAGATTTGGAGTGGTAATTCAGTTTTAATGAATGTTGTGGAATGATCTGCCACTTTCTTATTTAAAGGATGCTCCAGCATTAAAGACCAGACTTGAGAACCATTACTTCATATGGTTCTCAAGTCTGTGTTTGCATACGTGCCTTCTGGGTCTGATTTTGTCGTTCTTGGCTCAGGGAAGCGACGTTACTTTTTATCGACTTACTTGCTGGAGACTTGCTCTGCGTAATGGTCTGTTAAATATACACCATCCGGACTTAATAGGCTGAAAAATGCAAAACCTCTGGCTTGGCCTTTTAAGATTCGTGTACATTAAATATAAACAGACCCTCTCTCGCCCACTCAATAACTCATGAATATAAATATCAATCCACGCTGACAGATAGAGGTGATTTCCCGCGGCTCGTTTTTCGCTCGGCCCTCCTCTGTCCTGGGACACATAATCTCACAACCCCATTTCTCCCCAAGGTGTTTATCCCCCTGACCTCCCGCTTGCCTTTAACGGGGGCCTCTTCACTCACCCTTGCCCACAGAGTCTCACTATACGTTCCCCGTCCTTACCAACTCTGTCACATATCCCCTGCACCCCCCCGGCAGGCTGCACGCAGGCGGAAGCCCCCCCCGGGGGGTGCAGGAGCGTGAAGTGCCCCCAGCGGAGATCACCAGTTGCCTTTTGGGAAGGAGGCGCTCAGCTCAGGGATCGATTTCACCGTCAGCTGCGCTGCTGCGCTTGATCATGTGATTTGTGGAAAGCTGCTGTTACAAGCGGCCCTCGGTGTCTCATTGGCTCTGTGGGAACACGTATCGAGCATTTTCATTGTCACACTGGAATGGTTGTGGAACTAGATGGACTGTTGTGTTTGTTTGAAGAGGGATCTGAGAGGCAGGTTACTAGAGGAGGCAGAGCCGTGCTGGGTGCCAGTGCCACGCTCTCCAGAGGGGACAAAGCACATTCTATTCATTCATTTATTTTCAATGAGAGATGCTGATGATTTTCATGCTTTTTTTTTGGATTCATCAAGGACTTTTGTGTTGTTTGTTTGTTTTTTTTGCACATACTTGCCCTTCTTTCCTCTGCATCTGTCTGCAAACCAGGAAAACCTCCAATGAAAGCATTCCTGTCTTTTCCTTTGCTAACCTCAGGTGTTCCTGACAGAGTGCGTAGGCCCCCTGATCATCTACCTAATGTTCTACTTCCACCTTCCCTTCATCTACTCTCCGAAATACGACTTCACCAGCAGCAAGCACTGGGTCGTACAGTGAGTGTTGGCTTTCTGTTTTGTTTTATTTTTCGGGGATCTGTTGCATTGTCCCGACTTGCACAGATCCCCCCACAACACGGCACACACTAGTGAGGCGTGTTTCTGTGGCGACCAAGTCTTGGACTGTAGCGAGAAACTGCATTAATCACAGCTAAATATGCGAGTGTGTGTGTGTGTGTGTGTGTTGTTGCAGCTTGGCCTGCATATGTCACTCCTTTCACTACATTAAGAGGATCCTGGAGACAATGTTTGTCCATCGCATCTCCCACGGGACCATGCCACTCAAAAACATATTTAAGGTGAAAATAATACACACCATTGTTTGTTGTTATTTATGTTATTATTAGAGTTATTTATCTGGTCCAAATGTGCGTGGAGCCATATCTTAGTGTGACTTATTATAGTCCCTTTTTCTATTTCAGAACTGTGGCTATTACTGGTGCTCTGCAGCTTGGATGGCGTACTACATTAACCACCCTCTCTATACCACACCATGTAAGTGTAGCCCTTAATTCTGCCTTTAACTCATCAAGTGACTTCCGTTTCATTTTCCACTTCCATTTGAATCCATTTCTCTGACCCACGTCCACAGATTACGGACAGATGCAGGTGAATGCAGGACTCTACGTTTTCTTGGTATGTATGTAAATATACGGCGCTGTGAAGGAATCAGACATCAAACCCAACGAACTGTTGTTATGTGGACGATCATCTCTCGGTGTCTTCGTTCCTGCAGTTCTGTCAAATCGGGAATTTTTCCATCCATGTTGCACTTCGTAACCTCAAACCACCAGGTGAGCATTTTCTAACAAGGCATGTCATGTATAGTAAACAGACCACAGCACGAGGCCATAGAGTGTTTTAATTGTTCTCATGTCAGGTTCAAAAACCAAGAAGATTCCTTTCCCGACAAAAAATCCCTTCACGTGGATGTTCTGGCTCGTGTCTTGTCCGAACTACACATATGAGGTAAGCAGATCCAAAATCCACTCTTTCCGGAGGTTGGGAAATACTCAATAAAAGGGAAATGTTATACTGAAACACATACGTTTGGTAACTATTCACTTGTTCATATCGGCACCTTCCTTTCGTCCTAAGATAGACCAAACAAATTGCAAGCCTTTTTTGACCGTGCACATTTCAACACTGATGGTAATATTCAATGTGTGCAACACAGCAGCAGTAAACAGTACCTTTATTTCATGGTCACATGACGGATTAATGCTGCCATCTACTGGTTACGTTCCACACATGCGGCCTAAGTCGAAGTGCTTCGCGTTCATTCCTTTTGTCTGCGTGCAAACCTCCTGCCCTCAGGTGGGCTCCTGGATCGGCTTCACGGTGATGACGCAGTGTGTCCCTGTGGCTTTCTTCACCCTTGTGGCCTTCATCCAGATGACAGTGTGGGCCAAAGGCAAACACGGCAGCTACTTAAAGGAGTTCAGAGATTATCCGACCCTGCGCTCCTCCATCCTCCCCTTCATCCTGTAGAGCCTGGCAGATCAAACCCCGCTGTCTGCCCACATCCTTCCCTTTTCTTTTTTATAAAAAGGACCGTTTCCACACTGGATGTCAGAAAGTGTGCTGAGGTCGACAGGATTTTGGTCATATGGACTCCATGTGACTGGTTGTTTTTTTTTACATGAAACTCCATAGCAAGGATTGTCGGACAGGTGAAGGCAGGACTGTTAAGAGGCGGAGGGAGCAATGTGAGTTAAATACAGCAAAGTCTTAATATAATGTTGTAGGTTATCTTGAAAAGCGAGAAGATGAAACAAATATTTTGCTACTTGTGCCGCTATGTATTTTGCTTTACTGTTGCATTGAGTGCCATTTAGTTTCACATTATGTTCGTGGATTACTTTTTGTGGTCTCTGGCAGCGTGATGAGTGGTTTCCCACAGAGCTGTGCAACCAAGAGACTAATCTGCATTGCCAAACTAGTGTGCAGCCTGGAGCTGACAACTCATGCAGCGCTCTAACGATGCAAGTGACAATTAAGCTTCAGCCGAGGGCGAGGAAAAATATTTTTTTGTCTGTACGTGGATCAAAAGTAAAAAAAAAGAAAAACTGCGAACAGCATGAACACTTACAAAAATATACCTCTTACTAGATAAGATGATGATGGTGCATAAAGAGAAAGGAGACGGTTTCCCAGTGTTTCATATTCAGTATGTTCAGACCTTTTATTTCATTTGTGTACTAGTTGAAGAGTTGTGCAGCAACAGAGATGGACTGTCATTTCGGATTTGATAAGGACAAATGATTGTTTGCTATTCCATCTCCACTGAACGGAATTTATAGAACGCTGCAACGGCTGAACCTTCAAATTAAAATAAGTTTTATTTTATTTGACTAAATGTCCTGCTACAAGTTTCCTTTAAGGAGAGTATTCAGTGGCAACAAAACTTTTACCTGCAGTGAAAAGTTTGTTTACAATATTTGACCCTCTCAAGGAAACAAATGATTTTAGTCCTTATTAATAACCAAGTTAATAAACAGAAAAGAAGTGACTGAACAGAGCGACATGAGCTTTATTTGTGACTCTGGAAGAAGTGTCAATGCTACAGATATGTCGGAGATGTAGACTACATCACATGGAATGTTACAATTCAAGCGGCTGGCTTACATTAAAAACAGACACTGTACAAATGAAAAATAAACGACGACATTAAATATTGCATTTAATCGAGACATCTGCTATGTAACAGACACTCAGCAGCTGTATTCAATTTTAAAACTAAAATGTTCAGTATTACAACAAACCTTCCCCAAAGAGTATCATTTGTTTATGTGTTAAAGCACATTCCATCATTTTCCTGGTCACACCGATCTGCTATTGTTCCCCAAAGTGCAGCCGTATTACGTTGGACCGCAGTCGGATCCGAATGAGATCACAAGAAAGAAAAGAACAGCATATCGCCTTACCAGCAGGTGGTAGTGCGTCAATTCGGCGGTCCGTGTTACAGAGTCACTGGAGACATAATAAAAAGCTCAGCAGCTTTTGGCGGGACGATGGGTCCGGAATCGGACTCGTGATGCAGATGTGTGGAAGGCCGGGCTTCCGCGGCACTTTGATGACTTTCAGTTCAACGGACTACACGGAAATCCAACAGAGGAGCCGTGCGATTCACCAAAGAGGTCCCGGATTGACAGAAGGTACCGTGATTGAGGGAGCGAGGATGCACACTTCTTTACGCCGCGCCGAGCAGCGCTCCTCGGGGGAACGATCTCACGGGTTCTTCCCTTGGCGCAAAGGCCCGGCCCCCTCCAGCGGCTCAGTTCTCCATCTTTCCCTCCAGCAGAAAAAGGTCTGTTTGGAACATCCTCTGAAAGTACCAGTCCCCCCCCCCCCCCTCGAGGTTCGTTCAATCCAACGGATGAAATGAAAAAACATTTGAAAACCCAAGACCACGATGAGAGGTAGGATGACTGTTTCATTCTTCTTCTTCAGTTTCTGGTCGTTCTCACAGTGAAAGTTAATTCCAGCGCAGCTTTGCCACCCCCCCCCCCCCCTGCTCACCCGCTGTCCACTCTGTACGTGAGGGTGGTGGGCAGCGTCTAGAGGGGAGAGGGCGTAGTCCGTGTGTGTCGTGCGAGATCGCCGACCTCAGATGTCTTCGCATTCCAGGAAGTGGGTCCTCTGAAGCACCTTCACGTGGCGCTCGTAGATTTTGAGGGCGGGGCCGAGTCGGATGGACAAACCGGTCAACACGTCGCTGCGCTGCATGAGGAGAAGGGACTTCCCGTCAATCTCCTGTTGGGGAGAAGTCACGTTAGCATCAGCCATAGTGCCCAAAACCTCAATGTCCTCTTGAATTGGCCTGCAGGAAACACCACGCGGGAACTTACGATGAGCACGCGGTTATCACGCAGCTCGGTGTGCACAAATAACTGGATGCTGGACACAGGACGCACTACTTTTAGACTGCGTAAGGTACTTAATGCCATAATGGTATTTAACATTTACATTTACACCACTGTGTGACACATTCTCATGGCTTAAATTCTCTGAAACAAATCAAATGAAAGAATAAAAATGATGATGGAGTTGATTCACATGTTGAGTGTCCTTTTTTTTTTCTCCAGTTGTTGTTCCAACAAGTTAGTTGTCTGAATGTCATTGTGCAAATTTAGACGTCGTCATAGAAAATAAAGTGAAGTGACGTAAATGACGCTGCCCGAACATGAAAGCATTGGATAAGTAAGATATTTGATTCCTCAACTGATCTTACCTTTAAAAACATCTACTGACCAAGAAAACGGGATTTAGTCACGACCGCACAAAGCCGTTTAACATCGACCGCCTCTACAAATGCAGTGGCTGCCGGTGCAAGTTTGGAATCCCGTGCGCGTATGTCTACGGCGGTTCTGAGGTGGTGCACTGACCTGAGAGCGGAACGCCACAGCCTGCTCTGGAAAGCCTGCCGCTGAGAAGTAACTGGCCACATCTGCCACAGACCACAGCATCAGGTTCTGGCTCGTGTTCTCCTTCTTCACAGAGCTGGAGGAAGATCAGACAGAAAGGAGTCAGGAGCACGTTGGGGAGTGGGGGGGGGGGCTTTTCTTCAGCGGGTTTTAACTCCCTTTTGTTTGTTTTTGTTGTTTTTTCAAGCCTTTATGGTGATTATTTCCATGTTTGTGCCTCAGAACTATGGAAATGTATTATTCAAAGCAATAAATGGCAAACAGAAATCAAACAGAAAGGGGGGAGGACTTGATGTGGGATTAGCTGAAGACATTTCTAGTAGAGAATGTCATTATTAATAACAAGATACTCACACATCATCCCCTTTATCACCGTTCAGAAGACGGTGTTCGTCCACTATGAAGGAGGAAAGATGTTCGTCATTCTTCAATGTACCTGCAAACAAAAGGATTACAAATCTTCATCAAATGCTGACCTAATAAAAACACAACAAATGTGGGGTGCGTGAGAGGAAACACGTCTAAATTGTAAAAAATCCACAGGGTTTTTAACACAAAATACAGACGTGAGTTTGCAAGATTTAAATTCAAAAATATAAATACACGTCAGCGCCTCCTTTTACGTACACACCGGCTAATGTGAGCCTAGTTTGTGCAGCTAAGAGTTCAGGTGGACGTCTGACGCTACCAGTCGCGGGAGAGCAGACGGACAGAGAGACTATGCATGTGTCCTCGTCCTTCTTATTGCTCCTTTAAAGTGACGGAAGTTTATTGAAACTTTGTGGCAGTGTTTTTTTTGTTTTGTTGCTTTGTCCTGATTCAGAATTAACATGATACAATGTTGCAGTTGCCCCTTTGTTCGGTCTGTGTTCACACCGCAATATTTAACAGCGGACTAAATATTACTACTAAACAAACATCACGCGTGAGCAAACTGTTCTGTCATTGGTCCAATTCTAATACAGCTATGAATAGACTTGGGGGGGCCTAAACCCAGTTGGGATGTAAAAGGGGGTGCGTGGCCGAAACAGTTTGGGAACCGCTGGTCGAAATCATTGGCACTTGCAATAAATTCATATTAAAAGTCATCCTGTACCTTATTTCTTTCTATATAAACAGGTGAAATGGTTTCCCATTGCTGCGTATTGCCTGTTTCTAATTGTAACTTTGTGTTACTCATTGCAGAAGCAAACAGAAGGGTTCACATTGTTCCAATTCTGCAATAATCCGTCAAAGTAATTTCAGTAGAAATGTAGCTAAAAATAATTTATTTCTTGGAGATTTTTACGTCCGGCTTCGTACCCTCGACATGCAGTCGCGTGATGTGTAACACACGGCAGCCGAGGTGAGCTCGAATGGAAGTGAGGCCCCCTCACTTCCTCCATGGAGGTCTCTTGGCAATGTCTCACTTCAATTAAAGCCCAGAGAAAGACACTTTAGTTTATTCTAACAAAAAAAATAAACTATGGGCAAACCCAGCCCCCTGTTTACTTTGTTACATTTTTTACACTTACACACATAATGAATTATTAACAAGGCTATTACTTAAACCGCCACTTAAAGGCGTTTGGACGACAGCTTTTGGAAACCCTCTGCGGGCTTTGTGGTTATTACATCACAGTTACGTCACAATTACAGAAGGACAGAATGTTTTTGTTTGGTGTGTCAAAGCGAACACCACCTGAATCGACATGTGGACGGACAAGTTTGTGAAGCGTTTAAGATGCTTGCGCTAGCCTCCAGGCAAACACCATGAATCTGCGAAAAGGGTAAACGGATTGGTATGTGAAACTTAGGGTGTCTTCACCCAACTCCCTCCAACGACTGTGTGAGTTTTCTAAGAAAACCCTTTTCCACTATGAGAAAGCGAAACTGGTGATCAATTTGTTCGCTGCGAAGCCCCCCCCCCCCCCCCAAAAAAAAGGGGACACAATGCTACTCACAGTTGTCAGAGGGCAGAGACAGGGCCTGTAGTCTTCCTTCAGATGCATTCTTGCTCTCATCCTGTGAGCCCAAACAAAACAGGCCACAAAAATCAGAAGTGAAAATGTCGGGTGCGAAGCGGCGGGATCAAAGGGGGCAGGAGACATACGAGTGGCGTTTGTGACAGAGGGATTGAAAAGGGACATTACCAGCCCTGCAGCGTAGTCTGGTACCAACTGGTCAGGCAAAAGGCTGCTATCCACCATCTTGCCCGCATCGTCTTTCTTCACCTGCTTCTTCGAAGCGCCGGGGCTGGTAGTGGCAGAGTGGATCTCTGGCTTCGTGGCGGCTACTGCCGACAGAGAGCGAACCGTTTACATGACATGCTGATACGATTCGTGCGGTCACGCCGGACTTCATTCTTGGCGATCTGTGGCGCAAATGAAAAACCGCTGCAGCTGGAAGGTCTTTAAGGGGTGTGCTCCTTGAAGCCGAGGAAACGTGTACAAATGGAGGACTGCACTTCTAATTGCAGGCCACGCAAAGGGATTGGGTTTGTCAACAACCACCTCACCCATCCAGCTTCCGTCCGGGGGTTTCATATCAATGCAAAACTGAGCCTGCAAACCCTCATGCACCGGTTCATGCAGCAATATTTGAGCGCTCCATAAAGCGGGGTGTGCGTATTAGACTTTGTCTAGCCGTGTGAATACCTTTGTCCCCCTGCATTCCTGGGTGCTGACGGTCGACTGGGCAGACAGCGGAATGATAGGGCCAGTCATTGTGTGCAAGGGCTCCGGGGCTGGAGGGGGGCAAGGAGCTGGGCCTCTCACCAACCTTCTGGAAGGGGGCACAATCCGGACCGGGGCCGGGGCCGTGCCGCGTGCCAGAGGGGGAGCAGGGGGCGGAGATGGCTCGCACTGAGGCACTGCGTGCTGCGGCGGCGGCGGCATCTTCATGCGTGCGGCCGGGAGAGGCCCCGTCCTGCCCGTCCCGGCTCTCATCCGCCCCTTCCTCGTCCGCATTACTGTCCGTGTCAATTACCATCGAGTTGTCGGCCTGCAAACGGCAAAAGCATATAGGTGCAAAACGGAGTTCAAACAACCAAAAATAAATTAAAACAAATAGAGAATTCACTAAATGTACTGTGGGAGTCAAATAGGGACAAAAAGAAAAGGGGCAGAAAAAGACACATTTACCTGAGTGGAATCACAGTCATCATGCACTGTTATGATTAACTATCATTATTTGACAACAACTTAAAACGGCAGGCGACGCCTGCAGTGCTTACTGGAAGGGGGGGGGGGGGTGGTAGGGTGAGCGTGTCACATGAAAAGCACGCTCATACAGATGTCGCAATGTGACCGCTGTGGTGCTAAATGATCGCATTTCGGAGGTTGTGTCGTTCACTGCGCGCGCGCACACGCGCACACGCACACAGCACGGACCGCTTCGACCGTTTCCGCGCGATCACGGACGCGTGGAAACGCGATGCGACGGGATCGCGCACAAGTAGTTTGCCGCTGTCGACGGCGCCCCGGGTGAAGAAGAAAAAAAAAAAAAAAAGAGAAAGAAAGAAATTACCTTGTGTGCGACTGCGTGTCTCTCAAGAGGCGCAGCAGTCGAGCACGGGAGCGCACTAAAGCTCGCCCTCGCTCCTGAGGAAGAAAAGGGGGGGGGGAGGGGGGGGGGAGAAGAGCCGCTTGTACGGCGTTCGCTCATCGCACCGCATTTCACACAAGTTTCAGCGAGACACGGTCAACGGAACGTCCACTCCCCCCCGGTTCCCTCCCCCCCGGTCCCCCCCCCCCCCCGAGGATCGCGAGTGCCGCACAATTTGCCCCCTCGGCTCGCGCGCGGAACCGTCCGACGTGCTCGCCGCTTCCCGCTCTTTGCGGGCCTTCTTGATCAATATATAGATATTAATATTAAAGAACACACACGCGCGCACGCATTTGGGGAGTATAGAAGGGGGGGAGGGGGGCGATGGGAGGCGTTGCTTTTTTTTCTTCTTTTTCCTCAAATTCCCTCTAAAGTGCGCATGGAGTTGCGAGCCGCGGTGGAGACCTCGCCATTGTGTCTGTGGTCTCCGGCGGAGCGCCGATAGAGGGGAGGGGGGGGAGGGGGGGGGCGCGCGGCTTTAACTCGACGCGCACACGATCCCCGCGGACGAACGTCGCTCGCCGGTCTACTTTGACTTTGCACCCGGTCAACGGCGTGCAACGCGAGCGAGTAACGCGAATGAACCCGTTTTCGGACACGTCACTGTCTACATCTGATATTCGAGTACAAATATGGGTAACAAGCCCCCTTTTTTGTGTATTCCGGGGGCGGAGGGGCGACGCACACGCCTTTCAGAGAACGTCAAAGTCAATTTGATCTCGGCTTAACCCAAATTGGATAGGACATCCACCAGCTAGCGCTGGACGATCAGTTTAGCGGTCGCTTCGTGTTAGTTGGGGTCTCGCATTGCTACCGGCTCTTACATATTTCATAACTTTGCGGTGACGGCGCTGGTCTGGAATAACAAACACTCGCCCGGCGGGGAGAAGTGATGCCATTTCTGCACGGGACGAGAGGCCATTAACAGCCGACACCCCCCCCCCTCCAAGCATTAGACGCGACCGGGCTCGGGGCTGTGCGTGTCCGACAATGGATCCAGGGGTTCGACTCGATGCGCTGCGACGGCAATCGCCCGTCACTCGAAATACAGACGCAGTTCGCCTATTTGGACTCAAGTCATCTTCACAACGAGTACTTTGTCTGCGACGCAAATGTCATTTGTTGCCGTTGCACCGTGTGAAGCGTCGTGATGGGTGTATCGTAAAGTACAGCCGCAGGAGTTGACATGTCGTCACGGGCAGACAGTATGTGTGTCGGGACGTGGTATTTGCCCCGTGATGCTTGTTTTCGTCAACAGCCCCATATTGTCCCAACGCCCCCCCTCCACATCAGGCTACTACATCCGCGATGTTTGAGACTTTCTCCCCCCCCCCCTTCACCCACTCCCACATGTACAAGCCGGCGAGAAAGAAAACATCCATTTCCAGCCAAGACTTCCACAATAAAACGCCCAAGACTAAACGCCGAGTTGGACGCTCTTATTTTGAAAGCGCAATGGTTCCACCTCCGGCCTACTCCGGCTAACTTGGTGGGGTCCGCCTCACCACCCCCCCCCCCCCTCCCCTCCCCTCCCTTCGCTCAACGCCGCCGACTTTGGGGCTCGAAAAGCGCTTTCTGCCGCCGACAATGGAGGCTCGGGTTGAGACGGACGGGGCAACTTTTCCCGTTTAATCTCTGAGCGGTTACACCGTTTTCTTCTCTCTTTAAAAAGCGGCGCGGCGCGCGGCGCTGCCGAGTACGCGCGCACCTTCTTTTTTTTTTTTTTTTGTAGTCTCCACCTCGCCGGGGCGCTCGATCGAGGTCCAACCGCCGCTCCCCGTCTGCGGCAGTGTAGGGTGCAAATAACCCCCCACCCCACCCCACCCCCAGCCCCCACCCTATGTAGAGACGGAAAACACGGGGTGCCCCCCCCCAAAAAAAACAATATATATATATATACGGCGTCCTCGCCTTTTACCTCCACCTGTTAATGTGATAAGATGTGCGGCGTGACGAAGAGATAAAGAGGGGGAGCTGGTAGACACGTCGCCCCTTCGCATCAAACCCCCCACGTACCTCCAGGTCCTCCTCGTCCTGGTCCACGGCACCGAACGCGCTGTCCCCGTTGCTCAGGTCCGAGTGGCTCGCTTCTTCCACCGCGCTCCTTCTCGCGGCCGTCGTTAGCGTCACATCGTCTTTTTTCCTGCTCCTCCGCTGTACCTTGGCCGCGTTTCGGTATGAAATAGAGCCCTTGTAATTAACTTTTAACACGGTTTGTTCGCGGATCAGTTTATCCAGTTCTGCGCAGGTTCGTTCGGGCTCGGACCCGTGTCGCCTCCGGACCATTCGGCAAATCCTCTCCAAGTCCGGCCGGGCTTTTCGCGACCGCAGCGAGTCGATGGTGTCCAGGATCCACTCGCGGTACTCGGATTCAGACATCTTTCTCCCTCGTTGGGTTCTCTTCTTTTTTTTTCTCTTACCTCGGTGCGTCAAACCTTGTACACTGTTTTTTTTTTTTTTTGTGCGTGAGTCGCGGTCCAAGTACAACCGAGAAGCGGAAACCTCGCTGTACGCCTCCTGCGTTTTGCGTGTGCGCTTAAGGTGGACCGACGGAGTGGCGGCGAAAAGTTTTCACTCGGGAGGAGGCTTTTAAGGTGGAATCTGCAGTCCTGAACGGGAACGTGCGCGCGCACTCTGGTCCACGTGCATCACAATGCGCGAAAAAAAAGTGGCGGAAAGTGTGAGACAGCCTTTGATGGACCAACTGAAGCTGGTTGATATGTGGGACACACGCTCAATTTGAAGGAGCAGAGGCGCAGCCAGGATTTAGAGCTCTACGTTCCCTATCAGAGATTTGACTATGACATGATTAAGTAGAGAATGAAACATGTGCTCAAGCTTTGATACATCGGTTTCTCAAATAAAACGTAATACTTAGTTGAAACCATTAGAAAGTGATTTATTTGAACCACAAATTTAAATCAGAATACACCTTTTGTAACTAATACAAATCACCAAAATGGAATTGGGTGTAACCCCTGATACATTTGATTTTAAGAGAATGGACATAATACCGTTATTATTTCGTACAAAATAATTATTTTGTATGAAAATGTGTATACTCATCCATTGAATATATATAATATATATGTATATATATCTTTATATTTTGTGTTATATTGAAATTAGTATTTTTCAATTATTGAATACTTAATGTCTTAATAATTGCAATTTTAAGAAATTAATTTGGCCATTTTGTTTCGTGTAATGATTTACTCAGAGCCCTTTTCAATATGTCATCATTGTCGTTACTAAATTATTTTGGTCACTATTCTGTCATTTGATGGATTTATAAGTCACAAGGTCATATATGTTTTTTACTGCTTTCAAGCCAGAAGACTCTCTGGGCCCCTTCACATATAACTGACGCAGATGAATGCAATGCTAAAAAAGAAAAGAACACTGAATACATTTGGGGCGGGTTGCTGTAATTGATCCGGTCTGTAAAAGGACACAACGCTGCATTATTCAATTGCATTCTTGAAACAGTCCCAATAACAGACAGGAGTTAAAATAACGCCTCCAACCCCTCGCCTACCAATAAGTGTTTCTTCCACTGAGTAGTTGTGCTTCCTCGCCTCACAGGTTTCATGGATCATGGTGATCAACAGAGCAGAACTGACTGACTCGGTCATCCCTTTATCCACCGATCGCTCCCTTCACACTCACATGCACTTGTCACTTTCACATACGCTCACAACACAGTTGTGTCCAGTATGGATATCTGCTCACTGGTGTACTTTATTTTTTAACTTAACTGTTTTTATAAACTTGTATTCCTTTATTTTTAATCTAACTTATATTATAACCCATAGCCTTACATTTTATATTTTATTTTATTCCTCTTGCACTATGTTGTCTTATCTGTCTTGTTGTCCATTGTCCAACTGTCTGGTGATACGCACCAACCGCCAAGTCAAACTCCTAGTATATCTGACATATTTTGGTAAGAGATGTTTCCTGATTCCTGATTCTGTCTGGACCCAGTTCCTGTCTCCTGCCATGGCCCTGCTGACAACTGCTGCTGCTTATTAGAATAAATATCAAGCATATTACTGTTACTGTCATCATAAACCAACATTACCAACTTTGCTTCTCTCCTAAAGTCTTTGTGCTTTCCCTCCTCACAGGTTTCTGTGGACGGTGGTTATGTCGGATGTTGGTTGTCCCTGCAGTGGTCCTGCCCTACAGCTGGCTTACTATCGCAATATTTGAATCATTTCTGTCATAGGGATTGAATGTAGTGTACATATTTTACGTTGTTCATTCATGACATCCATTGTGGTCTGTCCATCCTGGGAGTGGGATCCTTCCTCTGAGGGATGTGTTTGTGTTTTTTTCTGTGCCGAGGGTTTCAGGACAGATGATGTCGCATGTGTACAGACTTTTGGGCTTTACGAAATCAATAGAAGCGTGTTCTTCTGATTCAGCACTGAGCCCAGAGCTGCTCACACACAATGTTGTTCAATGTGCCGAGTTGAATCTAGAGTGTCATTGTGCAGGGTGAAGAATTGCTTTATACAGCCAGAAATATTATTCTTAACAAGTAAAAGTTTATTGAAATGATACATTTTGCTAAATATTTTACTTTCTATACCCCGGTCTCTCTTTCCTGCCCGCTACTCATGGTGGGAATCTAGAACCCAGCAAACTCCTTTGCACACTTCTCTGTGAAGGAGATTTCGTCTCCCTCGTAGTCGTCGAAGTCGCTCGCGTCACCGGGGCCTTTGCACTTAGGAATAGATGGAGCTTCTACCTGAAACACACGAGACAATCAAGTCCGTCACAATGATGCAGTGGTGTCAAACAGAGAGAACAACAAACTACTGGACGCCGATGGATCCGTAATGAGAAAAAACACAACTGAAAGTGGATCCATATTCATTTAGAGCTTTAAAAAGTAATGCACTAGTATGATTCATTATGCTGATTAACGGATTGTGTCTGAAAACACACTACGGGACAAATTCAGAGATCATGTGCAGTCATTTTCTTTCCTCAAGTCAACTCATCTATTACCAATTTAGCTGGTCATCTTCGTTGATTTCCCTGAAGTGATTTCAACTGCTGTCAAATCAGCACAAATAATGAAAACCAAGAGTTTTATATCACAAGTTATAGTGTTACTCTGCATGCGTTCCGTTTTAGGCCTGTACACAGTCAACAACCGTATTCCCCCATGCAGCTTCCATCCGGGATTCATATCCAATGCAAAACAAAGCCTGCAAAGCCGTGCACCAGTACGTGCGACAATATTTGCACGTACTGGTGCACATACTTTACACGGACGCATGCCGTGTTTTGCCTAATCTGTACAATATCTTTCTTAGACGGCATGGAGCGGGAGGAGATCCCCTATCGGAGGGACGCCTTTTACGGCTACTTGTCCGCCTTCCTGGCCTCACTCTACGGTCACCGGCCGGGCGCATACGCCAACATGTCCGTGACGTCCGTTGAGCCCGAGGCTGACCCCTGCACCATCCCCGCCACCGGGTGTTGTATCGGTAGGTGTACGCTCCAAATTCCCCATGTGACTGGCGCTTTTCGAAAACCTGCCTGCCCTTTCCCGCTCTCTGTGTGCAGGTGGCTGAGCACAAGACTAACCGTGACTTTCGAGCGACCTGGATGTACCTGCGGGGAAGACGAATACTCCTGGTTTGATAGATGGCCGAGGCTGCGGCAAAAGTGTAACCCTCAAACAGATCACTTGATGGTTGGCTTGATGGAGGCCAGTCGCACAACTGCTGCAGTGCATGCAGGGCGCCTGGCTGGAAAAGGGTCTGCCTGGCCGGCCGAACTTCACTAACATCCGCACCGCTGTCTCGGTGTGAGATTAACTGTCACATCCGTGTTTCTCCAACATCAAATGCGTGGTCCCTGCTAAAAACACGTTCTCTATAGGCCAAAAACTTCCACAGCAAAGGAGCGCGCAAGCGGATTGATGTGCCACAATGTGAGCACAGCGGACCGCTTCTACTCTCCGTGATCGGAAGCATCACGACTGGTACGAGGCCGCCAGGACACAGTCGTTGATGACCTGGTCCCAAGGGTGCCAGAGGTCTACAAAGCTGCAGACACTAAAGACATTTTGAACTGCCTCGAGAAAGATGGATGGGGTTGCTCATTATTTATAAATTGATGTCCATTTTACATTGAATTGTAAGGTTTTTCTGTCTGAACTTCTTGTGAATATTCTGTTTAACCCCACGGAATATTTTGTTTAAATGCAGTTTAGAAGTTGTTAGATATCTGCACGTTATAATGTAAAAAAATGTCATGGTGTTTCCCAACTATAAATTGTCATTTGAAACAATCCATACTTTTAAGTAAAATTAACTAGGAAAGTAATTCAAAACACTAAGAGTTGATATAGTTAGTTTGATCTAGTGCACAGAAAGCACCATAATGCTTACATCTTTTAAAGTTGAATAAACATGTACTATACATGTGAACTTAGAGAGCAATCAATAGCTAAATTAAACAAATTATGAGTTGAACCAAATTGTAAATCCAATTTGACTTTTACAGTGTACAGTGAATTAAGACAAAAAAAGTTAGACATTTCCTAATCTTTGCTTGGATCAGTGGGGACATTCAGCTTGTGGGGGACGAAAAGACACATTCACCTGAGTGGAATCACCCCACTATTATTAGGGATGATATTAAGTAGACAATAAGGCAGCACGGTGTTGTGGTGGTTCGCACTCACAGCAAGAAGGTCCTGGGTTTGGACCTGCCGCAGTCCAAAGACACGCGCTGGATATCAGGTCAGCGGATGAATCTAAATTGCCCGTACAGGTGTGTGGGTGTGAGCGCGGGTGGTCGGGGTGGACCGTGTCTCTCGGGGATTGACTCCCTAGTACACGCGCACCGAGCTGCTGTCGCGGAGGCGCTCGATCGAGGTTCCCGCTCCCCGTCTGCGGCGGTTTAAGGACGCAAACCTCAGACATCTTTCTCCCTCGTTTTGTGTTTTTTTTTCTCTTACCTCGGTGCGTCAAACCTTGTACACGGTGTTTTGTTTGTTTTTTGTGCGCGAGTCGCGGTCCAAGTACAACCGAGAAGCGGAAACCTCGCTGTACGCCTCCTGCGTTTTGCGTGTGCGCTTAAGGTGGACCGACGGAGTGGCGGCGAAGAGTTTTCACTCGGCGAGGAGGCTTTTAAGGTGGAATCTGCGGTCCTGAACGGGGACGTGCGCGCGCACTCTGGTCCACGTGCATCACAATGCGCGAAAAGAAAAGTGGCGGCATTTGGTTTTAAGAGTTGGACGGTGAGACATCGTTTGGTGGACTAACTGAAGCCGGTTGATATGTGGGACACACGCTCAAGTTGAAGAACCAGAGGCGAAGCTGGGAATTTAGAGCTCTACGTTTAGAGATTTGACTACGACACAATTAAGTAGAGAATGAAGCGTGTTCAACCATTGATCGGTTTGTCAAATGAAACGTAATGCTCTGTTGCAACCATTAGAAAGATTTGAACTTTTTCTAAATGGTCATTTAAGTCACAATGCACCTTTTTAATTAACAAAGAGATAATGCAAACCACCAAAATGGGGCTCCAACTCCTGATACATTTGATTTGAAGAGGATTCATGAACATAGTACCGTTATTCGGTATTATAATTAGTATTCTCATGCAGTCAACACTTAAAGAAGTACATATATTATCTATTGTCTGTTATACGGCAAGTGATTTTCAATTAAATAATTGTAATTAAAAAACATGACATTTTATTGCATCTTTGTGGATTGATTTGCTCAGCCTTTTTAAGATGTCATTACTATATTTCTTCAGAGGGAATTCTGTCCTTTGCTGGATTTAAAAATAATGAGGTCTTTTACGTGTTTTTTTATTGCTTTCATGCCTCTTCACCCACAACGGATGCAGATGAATGCAATCCTAAAGAAGAGCACACGGAGGGTAGAAATACATTCGGGGGGGGGGTTGCTGAAAGCTGGCTGGTAATTGATCCGGTTTGTGACAGGATGGACACAACACCGCATGAAACAGTCCCGATAACAGACAGGAGTTAACATGCACCCTCCACAAGTGTGTTCCTTTGATCAAGAGGCTGGAGCTGCGCACACACCACGTTAACAGTAATATGAAATGTGACAACTCGAATCCTCATTCAATGTGCAGGGGGAAGAAATACTTTACATATAACCAGACATATTAGTCTTTACAAGTAAAAGTTTATTGGAATGATACATTTTGCAAAATATTACTTTATGTATATTTTTTTAACATACTCATTGTGTTCTAAGGGTATCTGTCAAGTTGTCCAGAGGGGAAAATAGTTAAGACTGTCAAAGGCAAGGATATACAGTATTGTTTCCCAAAAGGTACAATAGACTACACAATCACTGTACCCAGGTGATGAGGAAAAGATTAATGTTCTATTTTTGCTTTTTTGCTTTTTTTGAAAATACAATTAGAAAATATGAACGCAAAACATCTCAGATGTAAAAAGTGTTGTTTGAATGAAGTGTGTGAAAATCCGGATGAAAGTTGAAGGCAAACACAAGAGAATAACTCAGAATTAGCACAGAGCAGTTGATAGTGTTCAGCTGATAGAAGAAAATTAAAGACAAGAGACAAGAAGTTTTCGTGTGGGGAAACAAAAATAATTTTAAAAAGCATTGTGACGACCTCCATGTCTGGAGTGGATCCTGCGGCGTCGCCTTCAACACACCAACTGTGATTTAGTCAATTTGCCAGAACGTAGACCAAATATATTACATGTGCGCTCTTTAAAAAAGGATTACATAGTGTCTTCAAAATTTAAAATAATTAGCACAAATCAGTTGAACAGGAGATCTGAAAGGATGCGGCGTGTGCTTCAGTATTTGCAAAAGACCGGACACGTTAGTTGGTGGTCCACTGCATTGTTCGACGTGATGCTCAAACAAATCAAAAGGTTAAACAGCGATGAGTTCGTCGGCAGCGGAAACTAGAATTACTCAAAAACACGTTTCAGGTCCAGGTGATGTCTTGCCATTGGGTCGCTTTACCACATGCAAGAAAAAAAACAAGCTCACCAGAGAAAAAAATAAACATTGTGTTTCCAAACAGCATTGGAACCATCTCCGTTAGACAATTGAAGACATTCAAAAAGATATTCTGTGGTTTGATCTCAATTACATTAAGAGACAGCCAAAATAATTACCTCAAGCCTACCGAAATCATTTAGAGTTGAAAAACATTCTCAGAAATGTCATGGAACAAGACTTCATGACAAATTGATGCACATCTAACAATTCACAGAAGCTTTTCAGTGAGATGGATAAAGTCTAGCACCTAGGGCCTATGGAAGGTGGGGGTGGGAGGAGGTGGGTGGGGGCAAACATCCTTTATCAAACCAAGTGTATAGTCAACAAACCAGCAGAGATTTGGTCTGAGATTGTCTTGCATCCACGGAAATAAACTTGGCAAAAGGGGACAGCTTTAGGATAGCTTCCTTAGTTTAATTTGTTACATAGAAAGCTGGAAAAAGGAAACAAAAAAAACACTCCAATCTCAACAGTCCCAAAAATTTGGTTGGACTGCAAATCTATCTGAAGGTGTTACATGTACGGTATATACAAGAGAAAGGGGGGAAGGGAGGAAAAACAAAAAAACAATCAAGGTGAGAAGCACAAGTTCAGTGACAATTATCAGCAAACATTTTGCCCTACAAGTGATCAATGAACAAACCCCAGAAGAACCTTCGGACACATTGAACTGAGTCTTGTTCCATCTTCAAATAGAGCAGCCGAGAGTCCATTTCAATAGCTAAGCATGTTATCCACGATCTCAGGTACCTCAGCGCAAATAAAGCGTAATGCTCTGCCATCTTTCTTTAAAAGGGATATTGTACAAAAATAACATGCACATTTTGTTGAAACGTTTTGCTACTTTTTTTGCGCATTAAAATCCACCACCGTCATAATTACATAAAGAAAACCTTGCAATGTTCTCAGTTTGCAAATTTGGCAGAATTTATATATTTATTTATTTATGAAATCTTAATTTCTGTTTCACACCTATGAGACAATCTTGAAAAAGATGTGATTTAAGTATTTATATATATATATTAACATAAATATATACATATTAATACATACATATTAGTATATATGTATGCATTAATATATACATATATAGATCTTTATTTATTAAATAAACAATAGTCAGGAGTGTGACCACATGTTAGTTGCTGCTAAACCACAGCTTTTTAACCCACCCATGAGCACTAAATAACACACAAGCACAGAGATGACATAAAGAGGACGAAATGATCACCAATAGGATTCTTAAAATGCCTTAATAAATTCAGCCAAGAGAAAGACAGACTTAAATGCAAACCTCCGGTTTACCATTCCTCACAGGTCGCAGAAAAAAGGAGCAAGACGTGGGTGAAATTTACTGTGATAATTCACGTTCACTCGGATTCAAGAGGTCACCACTGCTTCAGCCGCAGTGAGAGCATCATCTACCCAGTAAGCATGCCACATTTAGCAGACAAAAGGCAGTCGCAGAGAGTTTTCAAGCTTCAAACCAAACGGGCACAAGGGCTGGTGCCGCCGTCGCCACAGCTCTGCACCAATGCTTTTGACACAGTTTTCCAACCAGTTGGCATTTTGATCGGCACACCTGTTGGACTTGGTATTGCTTGGACAGATTCAGGATGGAGCGATGGGAGGGCGGTGACGAGATACGACAACCACTCATTGAGGAGCCTGTGGAGAGGGCCCGCTCCGGGGGAAAAGAAAGGAGGAAAGAAAAAAAAAGCCTAGGAGATTCAGTACCGTAACAGAAAATCAATGCCTCAACCTGCAAAGACTGAAAGCATGTCATTACACCATCGGAAAGATACAAGTAGAGCCAGACAGCCACAACCTGCGCCTGCTCTCCTCCAGCCCGTCACAAGCAGGACGGTGAAATAAAAAGGGATCGGTAACAATCAGAAAATGCAACACTGCTGGTTCTGTCTCCATTTTGCCTACCTTTCCACAGAGGGGGGGGGGTTACATTGTTGTCGTCATTACAAATAAGCAAGATAGCAGTCCATCCTAGCGCTTCCTTTAACTTTCTATAGCCCTGTCTCTCTCTCTCTCTCTCTCCTGCCCGCTACTCATGGTGGGAATCTAGAACTCGGCAAACTCCTTTGCACACTTCTCTGTGAAGGAGACTCGGATTTCCTCTTCCTCGTAGTCGTCAAAGTTGCTCGTGTCACCGGGGCCTTTGCACTTAGGAATAAAGGGAGCTTCCACCTGAAACATACGAGACAATCAGACAATCAGCTGGTCGTCGTCCTAGATTTCCCAGAATTCATTTCCACTGCGTGAAAACCTCAAAAAGAATCACTGAAATAATGTCTTGTTACAGAACGTGACAACGATATGAAGAAATACTCTGCATTGTTAAAACAAATCAATGTGGACCACAGTACATGTTTCTGTTAAGTCCACCAGCTTCTGCGCTTGGATGAGCAAACCTTTTGATATTTGTTTTAGACATTTGCCCCATTGGTCTCCGCTGTAATATCAGAAGCCCAGATGGTGTGAAACCACCTGCATCCTGATTAGAGTAGACTCAAAAACACCTCCACGGACCAAAAGGCTCATTAAGGTCATCTTCCTTCGTCAGCATCCCTCCCGTCTCACGGCGAGGAGTTGAGATTGAAAAGGCCGCCCCGCTCACCTTCCTCTGGTAGATGGCGATCCAATCGGTGGTGGCGAACCACTTGTGGCCCTTGATATCGTTGACTCCGTTCCTGAGGTTACCAAAGCGCTTGGTCAGGTCCACCTGCAGCAAATTTCTCAACAGATCCTTCAGGTCTGAGCTGAAGTGGGAGGGAAAGCGAACCTGCAAACGGCGAAAGCAGTGTGAGCGGGTGTCATTAGTTAATTTGTCCCATTGGGAATTTCTTCCACTGGGAGATTTTTTTTTTATCCTAACTGTAAATAAAAAAAATTTAACTTGTATAAATATAAGCCAAAAGTAACACTACAGTGTTGAACTCTTTATCACATTAAAACAAAACACATTTTAGTTTGAAAACCGACCTGCTCTGGGAATTACGAGTGTAGGAATGTGCACCATGATGTCACAAAAACAAGACAAGCGAGTATTTTTTTTAACTCACCTTCCCTGATACAATCTTCTCGTAAATCTGAATAGGCTGGTCAGCAAAGAAGGGGGGGTAACCGGCGGCCATCTCATAAATCAGAACTCCCAGAGCCCACCAGTCCACTGCTTTATTGTAACCCTGGAAAACACACAGGAAATAACAAAAAAAAGGGCCGTCACATCCGTCCTCAAACAAACTTTCACACACACACACACACGTCTCCGCAGCAGGCGGTGAGCAATGAATTGCAGTCCTGAAGTAGCCGCACAATGAGAATGAAACGCCTTCCTTATTGAAGTTCCGTGTGGAGAGCTCTCCTGCCCTCTTGACATGACTCGCACCTTACTGAGGATGATCTCTGGCGCCAGGTACTCGGGGGTGCCACAAAGCGTCCAGGTCCGACCCTTCACCCTTTTCGCGAATCCAAAATCTGTTACCTGGGGAACCGAGAGCACAGTTCTGAGCGCTGCTCTCACACACGCAAGCAGAGAGAGACCCGTGAAAGCCAAACACACAGCGCGATCCTTGCCTGTATGTAGCCCTGCTGGTCGATGAGCAAGTTCTCCGGCTTAAGATCTCGGTAGATGAGATCCAGCGAGTGAAGGTATTCGAAGGTGAGTACAATCTGGGCTGCGTAGAAGCGGGCGTGTGGTTCGCTGCGGAACACAAATCGGGCGCCACGTTTAATTCAACCAGTGGCGTGTAGCCAGAAAGTGACCTAAAAAGTAAACTCACCTGAATCGACCGATTCTCCTCAAGTGGGAGAACATTTCGCCGCCGGGTACATACTCCATTATCATATAGAGATTACTGTTGTCCTGTGGAGAAATGAGCGGTCTTACTTTGACACGCAAAACCAAACGCAACCAGGAGATTGTCAACAAGGTCAACAAGACGACGAGCCGGATGAACGACTGAATGCAGACCTTAAAAGAGTGCTCCAGTCGCACCAGAAAGGGAAAGCTGACTGCCTGCAGGATGCGTTTCTCGTTCAGCGTGTGTTCTATCTGCTTCAGCTTCACCACCTGAGAGGGATCGGGGCAGAGCGGGACGTCATCATTACACAAACGGGGAGAGGGGAACAACAGGCACTTCACGACATTCTCAAGCGATCCTTGAGTCTAAAACACTGCAATCAAGCATTGGAGCGTAAACCCTCCAACCCCATGCAACATTTCATCTACGTCAGATATGAGCAGAACAAAATTATCTTTACGATGTTCAGAAGATCCTCTAAAGAGCTACAAAATATGTTTAGTCATACTTTTCCACGGAGCTGCTCACCATAGGATTTGTGGGTTACATAAATGTCTCGTTTTGTAACTTTGGACAACAATGATCAGCCTTGTGATCATATCTCGGCTGTATAGTCGAAAGTACATTTAGGTTGTTTTCGCCTCTCTGTATGAGCACTTTTCTATTTCAACACAACACGCTTTAAGAGTGACTGTTAAAGTCCTGGTATACATGTTAATAAAATATCTTCAAAAATGACAGTTATTTCACGTTCGAGGCCGTTAGGCATTCACATTAGTACGGCAAATGACTAATTCTCTTAAAATGCCTGTACTGTACCTTCTGTTTGTCAAGTATTTTCATGGCAAAATGTTGACCCGACTCTTTGTGTTTAACCAGCATGACTCGGCCGAACGAACCAGTGCCCAAGGTCTTCAAACGCTCAAAGTGGTCCAACGCCGCAGTTTGCTGAGGGAGGGAAGAGGAAAGTCTCACATTAGCCCAGCAGAGGGTGCCCCTCGAAAATGAATACTTTGCTCATGGGCGGGACTTGATTTGCCATGAGGCGGCCTGGTACAGTGTGTGAAAACAGAGGTCAGACATTATTACAACAACATTCACTAAAGACACAATGACACGACCCTAAAAAAGATTTAAATTGACAATGAACTGATGAAGTACTCGCTCACCTGTGCTGGATTCTCCCATTTCTTTAGGAAATCTTCTTTGGCTTTGGCAAGAAACTCCTTCACTGCAATTAGGAACAAAGTGCGTGTTTATTAGAGGCCGCTCATCGGTTTTCGGGAGCAAAGACTTACAGGATTTTGAATAACACGTCACCAAAACTAATCACCAAGACCGAGAGAAGAACATAACAAGTGTGTGTGTGTAAGACGGCGATTGGCAATAATAATCTTAGTTTTTACAACGACATAGCTCAATAAAAGATGGCTTAACTGGGTTAAGTTAGGGTCAATAGATTTTTCAATAATATATAATGACTCAAAATCTACCAGAGTGATCTACCAGAGAGTTAAGGGTTATGATCCGTATAATAAGGACAGCTGATAAACCAGAGTTTCTAACGTCCGATTTAAACAAATACCAAAGGGCCGATTGGCTAAATATTTGGTTGTTACCATACCTCCCTAAATGATCCCAATAGCAGACTATGGCTTTTAGAAGCTGCTTAAGATCCCCTTTATTAAAACAGGGACATGTCATTTAACATTAAACGCAAGCTCCAAATGCTGCGGGGTCCATTTCCATCCAACAACGTGATGAATGGAGACAAAAAAGGCACAAGTCCAACCGGCCTGTGACCCTCACGGAATATCAGAGGTACAAGCCCTCAGAAGCACAGAACCTCCTACAGCAAGATCTAGAAAATAGAGAAGATCCAGCAAACCCTCTAATACGGAGTCTGCGGCGGCACAATTAACCAAATTTGAATCGCAATTAAACTAGCATCATCATCATCAGCGATATTGTCATTTAAAAATAAGTGCTTTGCCTTCATATCAAATCAAGCGCTTTCTCAACTAACAGTCAGCCAACCACCAAGGTGGAGAACGAGATGCGGTTCATTTCATTTGGGGTAAAAAGTGTTGTGATACTATTTCATTTATATTTTCCGATGCAAAGATGTGTACAGCAGCAGGAAACACAAGCAGTGCTCTTGTTCATTTGAACGTGAAAGTGCAATAAAACGATGTTCGGGATTAGGGTTTTGGCCATGAACGCGTGGCCCTTTCATGCGTACAACAGCTCCACGGAGGCAAAGCGAAGGCCATGCGTGACCTTTCAGCCGGGGGCCGAGGACGAAAACTCCCAAACCACGTCTGGTCTCATTAAACTAGAAGGGCCCTTTTTAAACCATCACACACAAACACCGGGTTCCCGCGAGCAGAGCACCGGACATCCGTCGGCATCCCCAAAAACGTGTCCATGGCGTTGCCACTGAATCAGGACGTGGGGATGAAGGAATCCAGGTCAAAGCCGTCCAGGAGGTAGATGTGTACAGACTGTTCAGCCTCAGAGGTAAATTTGCGATACAAAATAAAATGAACACAGCTGTTCAGTCACCGATACAACCGGTCACAACCCGAGCAGTAAAGAAGTGTACGTACTGGAAGCAGTCAGGGCCCCACCCCCACTACAAAACCAGTGCGACCACATTACGGCCAAAGATTTGCACACAGCGTTCTTTTTTTTCCATCTCTCTGCCTCGCTGTCTCTGGGTGGGGCATTAGAAATAATCAGGTGCTTCTACACTTATGAATGCAATAATAAATAGAAATCTGTCCCTTAGGAGAGTGCAGTCCAACCTGACGCCTCAACGCTTTAGCAGGAAACCTACACCTGGTAAAACAACAACAACAACACTGTGCATAAGCACACATACTTCCGCTATGGATGAACTGACCCGAGATCGACAGCATGGCACACATTCCGTCAAATGCAGCCACTCATTTTTCTTGCTCTTATCTTTATGGGGATAATGGCAGCGCTCTGTGGGAACATGCAGATAGTAGGTAGGAATGAGGAAGGCCCGCCTATCTGTGTCCCAGCTTTGACAGTCCTAGCTGCCTTGTAGCAGATGATCGAGCTCAGCGCTTTCTACGGCTCAGCCGTAAATCACCGGTACACAAGTAGACATTCATTTAGTGTCTTCTAGAAAAAAGCTTGTATTTGTGCAATTTCTCCCCAAAGTTAAGACTGAGGTCAAAACCAAAATAAAAGGAGGATTACTTGGAGGTGATATGGTAGATGTTGGATCCCACTAGCAACAAAAGAACTACATTTCCAACGCTGATAATGAACATCACCTATATAAATGTAATACAAATGTATCAACTACTAAAAAGAACTATGTTAAGCCATTCAGCATAATGTGGAACGTCCTTCTGCCTGGGTAGTCGATGCAAAACAGAAGCCAAGGTCACAGTAAACTAATCAGCTGTCAATACTGAAAGGCCATAATAATGTAATCACCAACGCCTGGATACTAATATTCAAACAAATGGGCCTTTGGACTTGTTTCAATGAGAAAAACAAATAAATATGATCAAAAACATTTACAAAAACTCCAATCTACAAAACATTTTGCACGCGTTCATCTCTCACGCGCACACACACTTAATCCTCATCTAGCTAATGTGATTTCCTGCAAATTCTCCAAAGACCAGCAGCTCCAACAATAGGGTGGGAGAACGCCAACAAGAGCGGCCGAGACCAAAGTTCGCACAAACATCTCGAGAGTGCCGCAGCTCCCAGAGAGCAGTGAAGGCAAACTGGGCAACGGGGAGAAAAAACAAACATTTCCAGTTGCTCAACTCCCACTTCCAGGCAGATAACTCTGCTATTCCTGTAACTCGGAGCCGCTCCGACTAAAGACGTGGGCGCTGCACGAGTCCAACCAACAGCTGCCCGTGAGTGGTGCGCTTGATCTTAATACAATATCTCTGTTCTGAGGCCTGGTTGTCACGGCTGCCGTGGTCATTGCAGGTGATGAACCAACCCCTCCGCTCTCCTGTGAAAACCCCAAAGCTCCTCACCATCCGGGATGACTGTGGGCATCTCGGGTGCCGCCGCGGCGTCCGCTGAGCGCGACCCTGATTCACTCGAGCGCGAGGATGACTCCCTCTTCCCCGCATGCCTTCTGGAGCTCTTCCTGTCACACATTAGCCCTGCGAAGTTCTCCTCTGCACCCCCCACCTCCACCAACCCGTTCTTCTTGCTTGGCCTCTTCCTCGGAGGAGTCACTGATTCATGACCTTTCCCGCCCCCTCCGAGTGCACCCTGGTCGGATCAGCGGCCCCGCTCATCCACGGAAACGGGGGGTCAAGTGTCCCTGCTGGCGTGGGGGCTACTGTAGTCTTTCCGGGGACCGACTGTCGCTTTGCTGGCGGGTCCCCCACCCCTCGTCCCCCGAGTTCAGGAAGCAGCTTCCACAACCAGTGTGCGCTCAAACAGCACTGCTCCCGTTCCAATGCCGCAGATCAATTAGACCCTTGCTTTGGTTTGTATCAATATTTATTCTGTACACAACGTACTCTGCTGTTCCCACCCGTGTCTCTCTCTCTCTCTCTCTCTCTCTCTCTCTCTCACTCACACACACATTATATTGATCTAAACAGAAGCATAATCACCAGGGGGAGGGGTGTAAAACCCTAGCTGGTGAATTTATACAACCCAAGAGGAAGTCCTATGACAACACTAGGCCTAAATGAAGACCCTGTGAGATGAGCGCGGCACAAAACTTGTGATAAGTAATAAGCAATAAGCACAAACGATCAAATCACACATTGGCAGCAAAAAAAACCTCACATTTGCAAACCAACAGTCAAACTCTCAAATGCACCAGAGAGTCTATGTGGTGCCGAATCAATTCTCCAAAATCAATCCTGCATCTCTCCCCTGGGCCTCGCTGGGCGCACTCTGACGCAGGAGCAGAGGGGTTATATTAGGGCGAGCGGGCCAATAACTCACGGTAAAGCGTGCCAGTTCCGGTCTCACAGCGCCCTGTTCACAACACAGACATCCACATGCGGGCACAAGAAATCAGCTGGAGGGAAAACAGAGCTGCGGGGGAACAAGGAAGTTGTCCTTTGTTTGTGTAAAAAAAAAAGAAAAAAAAAAAAAAAAAGAAATCAATGAGTAGTCATCAGATCAATATCGGTAGTAGATAGTTATGGGCAAACGCCACAACTTTACATCCTGCTGTAGGAACCCATTGGGCTCATCGACATAATGACCAATCCAGCGGCAGAGCAGCTGCTCACATCACACTGTTCCAGTTCCCTCTATTCACGCCAGGGCTGCACACATAATCCCCAAACCGTGTTGAAATAGAAATGAGACCCAAATATAGAAAGGTGGAAAATGAGAACCATCACGGGTCATGTATGTACATCTGCCCGTCTTCTTGTGTACTTATACAATAATAAAATGTGTAGTGTTAACATAAACAGGGTAACCTTTTTTTATAGGGTACAGTGCATTTTATTTATATATAGATAGTGTGAAGCAGATTGCTAGCAGCCACTTTTCAGTTTGTGTACTTTATTAGACTGTTCTAATGAATCAGGTAGAAAAGGCTTCTGGCTGATTCTCACTTCATGATGCATGCAGTTTATTTTATGCTACAGCTCAATTCCCCGCCAGTGATTTCAGTAGCAATGCAAATGCAGATTTAAAAGATGTATATAACTACGCCCGTAGCTGCTGTGAGAATCCAAAAAGGAAACTACTGGTTCTTTTTCCAATCGCTGAGCACCGATCTCAAGTTTTGCACCGCTTGCTGGTGAATTTTGCGTCTCAGCATTGTTCCCTGGAAGCATGTCGACTCGCCAACTCGATGCTCTGCGCTGATCCAAGGTGGCTGATTGGCGTTACAACAGTACGGCCCACTGGTAATCACTGTGGGCTCTCAACAAAGCCCCTTTAAGTGGAGACAGGAAGTGATGAGCGGTCCAAACACAAACCGTCCCCTTTTACACGAACCAGCTGCGTGCAGAGCAAGGGCAGGACGTGAGCCTCAACGATATTTATAGATACAGGGAATCGCAGTTTGAAAAGGGTACCACCTCATTACACGAGGTGCAATTTCAAAAACACAAAAGATTCAGTACAACAATCTCTTATGTCAGAAGATGTCGTCTTATGGGTGTGAAGTGAATCAAAACACTCGTACAGGCTGAAGCGCTTTTTAAAAAAAAGCTCCCCACCAGTGAGAAAGAACATGACAAAAGAGCGTCGTACACAAAAAATTAAAAGTACAAGTCTGTTTGGATAGGTTCATTATTACACTGCGTAACAGTTTAAGGTAAATGGCAAGATGCTGTGCAGAATGGTGGCGGACAGACACGCCCGCAGCAACGGAGAAATGCCTTCCTTTGAACTGTAACTGGGAAACAATAGGCCACAGAGAAGAGACCAACAACAGGCTGCTCTGTGGGGCTACTTGGATTCAAGATTGCTCCGCCGAAAAACACCCAACTCACCAGCTCACGATAAGAGTTTACTAAACAGACGGAATGAAGAAATAGCCTGATTAGAGTTGGAGCTAAACCACCTAAACCTCCACAGGGAAAACTCACGCCAGCAGCCGGCCTCTAGCTCCTCCTGTGGTTGGTCATGTCTGCCTTCTCCACTGCCCGTGTCCCCTAGACAGGGCCCGGATCGGTGAAACAGCCTTCCTGCCAGCCTGTGAATAACGGACATCGTACAAGGCGGGAGGAAGCCAGCTGACGGCCGCCGCAGAGTCACAAACCCGGCAGTACGTCCAGAAGTTGGGACGGAAAACGCGATAGCAACAACGTTGTACGGGTCCGAAAACCTCGAGGCTATCCTGGCCGGCTATGTTTAGTTTACAGAGTAGTGGGCTGGGCTGGACCTTCCTTGCTCCCTCGCTTCCTGCTGCAGTCCACGGAGCGTCTATCCGCCCTGCTTCCTCCCAAGGGCCAGAAATCAGCTCTGCATAGTAGTAGTGTTGCACGGCGTACCGGTACTAAAAAGGTACCGTGGTACCCTTACGTTGAAAACAATGCGGTTTAAAACTTGACTCGAGTGAGTGGCTGCGCAGCTCTCACACGTGAAACAGGCAGCAGTCACTCACAGCGAAAATGAATAATGCCATGAATTAAGAATGTGAGAATATCAAACTATATATGCAAGTAAATGAAGCATTGTTTATCCCACAGACAGTCAAACGGATGCCATGTTTTATTTATTAAGATCATAGAGAAATATTACAGTATCGTATTTGTGGTATTGTATCGTAGGTATCGGGTACCGTAATATTTGAGTAGGTATAGTATCAAAGTACTAATTTTGGTATCGTGAAAACCCTACATACTAGTGCGGCGGCCATGCGCTCGTCCTCCTCTCCAACCCGAAGAGACGCCGTGCACCGAAACACGCTCAACCCTCCCTTTCCGCAGAGAAGAAAAAACATACAAGTTTGGAAAATAACGCCCCTGGGTATGGGCTCTGGGGGTCCCCGGTCCACAAGTGTCTCTGGCGATTCTGGTGGATCTTCTGCAATCAGTTTAATAAGGATTGTAAGCGCGATATGTGCAGAGAGGTATTGCCGCCAGTGTGGCAGTGTCAGTTATGTATTCTGACCTTCTAATAGACATTACTTCTGAAGCATGGACAGAAGCAAACAAAACCGCTGAAAGTCATATTCCCAGTTAAATTGTTTATCAGCGATGGGTCAGTCTTGAACAGTCAGTCCTATCTCCACAGTACGGAATCAGGGCATAAGAGGGGGTCCGCACATTTTCATCCTGGTTTTGGTGGGGGGAAAATGCAATGGCCTGTTTGTGATCGGAGATACAATAGTCCTTGGCGTCACCTAGCGCAGGATGCAGCGGTGCTATCCTTTGAGAGATGGATAAGGCGTGTAGCCAGTCTACATACGGTGAGTGAGAATGGGGATGGGTTTACATTACAGACGGACTGCATGCCATTCTTCACACATACACTCCACCAGCAACAAGGAGCTGACACTCATTTTGCAGATACCTGCTCAGACTTTGGACACTTGAGTGTTATTTATGGTGTCGGATATGAAATCCTCAGCTACTGAACCCAACTGGAAGAAAGGGAACCAAAGCTCTTTGAGTCTGAGCGTTTTATTGGGAAATAGGAGTACATTGGTCCCTAATTCAGTAGAGAAACTGAGAATAAATGTAAGCAAGCGCATTTCATTTCGCTAACATCCTTTTTCTTTCTTTCCATGTAATATTAATGAAAAGTGATCTGAAACAAAAACAAAACAGTCGGTATAAGCAAGGCATCTCTTCGTCACCATCTTGGACACACACAAAAGCGAGCACACACACACACACACACACAGCCACATACAGGGGGCACTTGTTCTAAATGCTGCTCATCACATGATGTTCAAGAGACTCCTCAACTCCTAAGTTTCTGCCTGGAGAGGATCACCCTCATGCATCAGATGACCCCGTCTCCGATAACCAACTCTCATCTACTCACTTACTGTCAAACGCAGCCTGTGAGCCTCCGGTCCACACTTTGCATTAAGATCCAGCACAGGTTAAATGAACATCCCAAAACATGTGCATCGTCACAATTGTTTCGAATGCCTGCATTTTTTAAAAACAAAATAATTTGATGTGATGAAAGAAAAGGTATTACTTTATAAATGTGCATGGGAAAAGCTAAGATTTTAGGTTTCAATGTGATTGTAGCATTTGACGTCATCTGGAGGGAAACAGAAACAGCAAAGAAACCTACGAGTGTTTTGTGAAATGTTGTATAAGACTAGTTGTTGTCATCCTCTGTGGACCTACTGGATGTAACCTGAGGCTTTTCATCACGAGCTTTCCCACAGAATAAGTGGAGAGAATGAAAAACATCCTCCTTGTGTGGAGATGAACGTGGTGTCACGGTGGAACAGCTCGTTTCAAGTTATCAACACATGCATGTGAATGCTGGTGTCTTTCCTAGGGTTTGGTTTTAAGTTGACAAACCGGGGAAGTGGTAGCTTGTCGAAAGCAACATCACATGTGGTCGGCGCGTCGGGTCCCTCGACCTTTATGCATTATGCAGCTGATAAGGTGACGTTTTTATATCAGGTGCAATCATGGCACACAGGAAATAGCAACACTGCAAAACGAGTCAGGTAGCATGACATAGCTAGCATCTCCGGGAAAAAGGGTACTCACCGCTCTCCATCTCATTGCCCTTCTTTGCGGTGGGCGTGTTGCCCATGTTAGCAGGCTGATGGTGGAGTCCCTTGGCTCAGAATTAAGGTTCTTTATTCCTCTACAAGTCGACGAGTGGTGCTACACCGCTAACGCAGTTGCTGGGCTCAATGAAGCTGACAGCTAGCTACTAGCTACCATTATTAACATCCGTGTGTGAATAAGTTTCCTCAAAATGCCCCTCCTAGGAGGAGTTCAACAACCAAGCGAGTGTATGTACAAGCCTGCAGCCAATAATAAGGCTTAAGGTTAGCTAAGCTAGCACGCTAGCTAACTCTAGCAGAGATGGACAGTAGCTGTTAGCTTTGTGGCGTTAGCCTGTCGATTTCCAAGCGAATCACAGTAACTCGAGACGTCAGTCGGTTGTCCTTTATTTCCAGACGCGACGTGGTTTACCCCAAATCCGGCCCGAACCATTAGACGGGTCGTCGAGAGCGGTTTCGGTCTAACGTTGACGAACAAGCTAGCGTTAGCTTTTAGCGTCCCTCGCAGTCTTATCCTGGCCTGAACTAACCAGGTGCTATCTCTGTGTATGCAGGCCTTTCCAGTTGAGACCTGGATAATAAAAAAGTGCCGTCCAGGTTAGTATTTTTCTCCGCTGTAACTAATTTCAAATGGATCTCTCTCCATTCGTTCCTAAACCAGCATCAAGTGCAACGGTTCCTTGGGACCGACCATCTGATAGTCGATTCCTAAGATCAACAGACCCCTTCCATTAATCTTCAGCCCGCAAGGGAAACTCCAGTCATCCATCCACGGGGTCCCGCCTCTCGCTGGCTCTTATTGGCTACATACAAAGATTCTTAAGCTTCAGAAATCGCAGCACGAGTTCTTATTGGATAGGCATCGATGCATCCAGACATTACATTGATGCAATTCGTCTGTCAAAATGTTGTCCCGCCTCGCAGACTTGCTAGTAGCTAATACGCCCATAACTGCATTTGTGGGGTGTTTTCTCCCTTTTACTTTAAATTTTCGGCTGTTTATATTCATCAGACTGAGTTTCTTGCACGGTACAGATAAAACCTTGTCGCCTTTTTACAATGGCACTCCCAGTTGCAGAGCAGTCATTTCCAAAGGCAGTTCTGTAGCCTAGCCACCCCTTTTACCCGACGATCTGTGATTGGGTGTGACGTTAACACGAGCTATTTTTAGACATATGTGAAACTATAAGACACTGGCAGTGATATTTGTGTTTGTCTACGGAGGAACATTGTTGTTCAGACATTCTCATACAGATACATTAATAATATTATTTTTAATTTGGGAAAGTTGCAAGCAAACAAAAACATGGATGTATCCCACACACAGCTCAACAATCTAAGTGGAAAAATGTGTAAGTGCAAAAAAATAATTTGAACACAAATATAATGGCAGAATATCAAATTCCTGTACGGCAGTGTATTATAATTTATTTGACTTTAGCTTCGTTGCTGGAATCCTCTCATACAGGTATAAAGGAGTTCTGTAACAACAGAAGGAAGGAAGGTGAATCACACATCAGCTTGCCGCGCCGTTTCAGTTCAGCTGCATTATTCCATATAGTTGGTTACCTTTTTCCATTCCATGAGTTAAACAACTTCGATATTGCTTTCAACGTCATGGCAATGAACTCCCAATCTATAAGTGTCAGACGGTCATAACCTTCCTTGCAAATGACACGTATCTGAAGCAGAAGGTGAGAGTTTGTTTTTGACAGGCTTCAGGTAAGTAAGGGTAGCTGTAAGGCAAAGATGTCTGTACATCCACATTAGAATGTCCGCACGCATTCTTCAAAAATAAAGGTGTCATCTTGGAGTTACCACATTTGGGGCAGGGTCGTCTCTATAAGCAGTCCATAGAGTTATCCGGTAGTAGCCCCAATGGGGGGGCCTTTCCTGGGAGACAAGAGGGAGGGAGCATGGAGTTTGACGTGGGATCCACATTTTCACAGTCCTCCATTCGCTCTGCACAGCCATCCCAGTTTATATGGAATCTGGTCACACGCGGGTTTGATGCCAGAATATTTCTCTGGAGCTAGAAAGAGGACAATAGAAATACAGGTTAAAAACGTACAGGTATTTTCACAACATTGTAATATCGATGTGGTTTTTAGGTGTAAACAGAGTTTAGGCACTTATCCAACATACCATGTGAAATTGGTCACGAGCAAGAGAACAATAACTTTACATAACCTCGTACCAACTGGTGTGACTTAATATAAAAAGACAATGTCCATGTCTGCTTATACATTTTAACAACCTAAATAAAAACTTTCGGTCCACATGTGAAAATCTTTCCGCAGAGAAGTTATTCACTGTACATTAGCTGCAGCTAATGTACATGCGGCTACTTTCTAGTTGGTATCAAGACTCGGGACAAGAAGCTCTGTAGATAAGATTCAGCAATCGATTAATAATCAATAAACTATATAATAACTCAGGTCAAACTACAACATTGCACCTTTGAGTAAAAAGTTCAAAATACAATCCTTTGTCACCACAGCAAAACTCTGTGGCTTATTAGTGAATTAAGAACATAGGTCAGAGTAGCAACATGCTTGAATAGTTATATAACCGAGTATATTTTGGAAGGTTCAAACAATGTGTTCCAAAGTGCAGGCTCAACAGAAAGTAAAGCTTTAATTCTGCAATGATTCAGTGGACCATGCTGACAACAAAAACTTTCTTAGGTAGTGTAAAAGGGCTATTGAATGTTTTTTTTTGTGCATTTTCTCATTGCAAGTCCTTCAATAGGCTTCTTAAACCAGACAGAATAATATACTTTCAAGCAACATTCTCAAATTTCCGTAATCCGATTGTTATTCCAAAAATAAGCAATCGACATCAACCGTTAGTCTGACCTGTGTGTAGTTGGGCTTGATCGGTGGATTTTCCCGAAGCTCCGGTTCTGTGTATTCATTGTTCACATAGTAACCGATGCGAATGAACTCCTGGCCACGGTATGTGCAGGTAATAAGCACTACGGTCACACCAACAGCATCACTTTCAGGAATCAATCCAGTGTTTGGGGCATCAGCCTGTTGAACAAAACACAACACTGAGATGTGCAAAAATATAAAGCTACTTTTGTATCTGTAATCTCAGAATTTTGAACGACTTGTCCAATACCACTGATGGCACCAAAGGTTGGGAAAGAATTAAACAAAAGGCATGGAGTCAGTCTATTCTGACTATTTGCCTATAACATGGTTTATTTTAATGCATGTTCCAAAATGAGCCCTACAGTAATTCCATAAAACACAGAAAAATAAATAAATAAATAAAAAAAAATATATATATATATATATATAAATGTACAATTGAAAAGCATTGCAGGAGAGAAAAATAACGTGAAAGTTTAATGACACATTGTTATGAAATTGCAGTTCCCGGTATATGCTACATCATTAACGCAACAGAAAGCACTATTTCAGTCAGTTTGCCGGAGCCAAACTCACCTGAAACACAAACATATGTCTCCCAGCGGGCACGGGGCCGACCAAGACAGAGTCGAGGATTTGATCGTACTCTTCGCTCTCTGCTGAGCCAACGTAGATGATCTTCCATTCGAGGTCTACAAAAAACAGTTATTAAATTAAATTAAATGATGTTTCACTATACAATGCAAATGTATGGAATGTTGTGCTGAGAGCATTTGTTCATTAATCAATTCGATGATGCACAAAATATATTGATAATAGACTGATATTTCAATGAAACTACCTGGATAAAGCTCATCAAATATAGTCAATAGGTAAATAAATACCATTTAGCATTTTCAAAAATCATACCATAAGAGACTTTACTTTGATCTTCTATATCAAAAGACTAACAAACAGAAATGCGTTAACACTTTTACAGAGAAATCAAAATATTAAAGGGAATGCATTACTTGTGCAACAGCTGTTGCGTAAGGTTATAATCAATATCCATTTCATGTACGAATAATAATCCACACGCTACCATGAACAATAAGGAACACAGCAAACGTTTGAATCAATAACCATGTAACGAAAGTAGACTGCAATCGTAAGTTGGAACTCAACACTGTATCACTAGTATTGGTACCGATTGTTGGACGAGCATAAACGTTACGTTGCTCTCTACTTTTTCATATCATTGGAACGATATTCACAAGTATATTTTACTTAAAGTCACAAAGAACAAAATAAATCAAGCCTTGTAAAATAACGTTTCGCTTGTAAAGTGACGTTACTGTCAGAGACTCAAATTTGAGTTAAGTTAGCTAACTCGGCTAGGTAATCAATGGTTACGTTGCTAACTTAACGTTATATGTAACGGTAGCTAAACTAGCAAAAACACGTTAGCTTTTAGCAATCTCCAGTAAGGTTACACAAACAAAACGAACGTAACCAACCAGGCACCGCTTTTCTGGGAATGTGAGATTACGTACCTTCGGGAAGGTCCTCCATACACTCAAACGTAATCTCAAACTGAAAAGGGTTTCCAAAGCGACTCGGATTGTCCAGGACGGCCACATTTAACACCTGAACCTTCGCCATTGTTGTCAAAGCGCTAAAGCTGGCTAACCAAAAACAAACGTTGAGACTCCGGCACCTGGGAACGGTTTAAAAGCACCTTCAAAACAAGACGTTGAGAGCAAGAGACAGCGGCATTAACTACTAAACAGCTCGGATACCGCTAAACTCGAGCCTTATTTACAACGCCCGGTTCAGAATTATAGCTACCGACTTAATTGAAGTTCAGTATAACTGCCGGACATTAACGCAACAATTTGAAGGATGAATATAATGCTCCCGCCGCTTTCACTGTCAGATTACCCAGGCTGCCTTGCGACTACGGCAGGCGGTAAGTAGGTGGAAAAGAACCCGCTCATTCAGAGGAAAAGGCAAATGGCCTCAGTCGTCCACTGGTGGAAAAAGAAGAATTGCCTACAGTATCAGCTGTTATTACGTTTTCACCAGATAATAAACCTATCAATGTTTTCTGACTGGACTCAATGTGTTAAATCAAGTGGACGCTTCACTGGCACATAATCTCTGATGTCCACTTTCAAGTCAGTCATACCATTGCAAGTGTTTTGCTATTGTTTGACAATCAAGAGTTAAACATCACTACCTTAAGGTACAGTTAAATAAAGATGATGCAAGGAGATAGAAACAAAAAACCTTATGTTCTTTCATGAAAACTGGTCCATACAGATAAATACGTTTTTAAAAAAAAAAAAGAGAACACAGCTTTTGCTTTTCTATGATAAAGACTATTATCCTATTTGCAATGAAAATGTGTTTCTACGTTTTCATGTTTCGCAGGAGAGAATCAGATGGTATTACTAAATGAAACAGAATTGATTTCAGCAGGCCATATTTTCATCATTCATTATTGCTTTTTCGATTATGGGTTATTTGATTATCTACCATCTGCATGTATAAACTCTCACGAATAGAATACCATAAATCACACTGATAACACGGTTATAAACATAGTATAGTTAAAACAGGAGGCATTTTTTTCCCAGCAGCGCTCTGCTTTTTCTATAAACACCCCACTAGTCTCACACACACTCTCACCACAGATTAGGCCTGAAGCAGCCCACATTGCCATTGCCTCTTAGAGTCCGAGAAAGGCAGATTAAGTGAGGATTAGAGCCCACTGGACCAGCCGGCCCGCCGAATTCATCCCTAAAATATCTCAGGAATGTCCATTTCCTTTCTCATGTCGGGTCGGATAAAACCTGCTGGAGGCGCTGTTTCATGGCACCAGCAGGTTGTAGGTAGAAGCTGAGCGCAGAGGTGCAGAGAAACTGTGGATCAGCAGGTTGGTCAAAGTGAGGCCAGACTGCCGATATTAGAAAGAAGAAGAAGGGGAAAGGAACAGTTTAATTGAAGCAGTGTGTCGGGGAGGTTAGTTGGCACAGCGTCACATAAATGTGATTAAAGGTATCTTTTTTTAGATAACACAGGTATTTCGAGGAGGTTTTTTTTTCTTTCTATGTCAACAGGAGGACGGTTCTGCTTCAGTGGGCAGAAGCAGAGTTTTCCTTCGTCTTTGGTACAAAGGAGTATCTGTGCGCTCTGCTGCAGGTGGATAACTGCGCTCAGGTAATGTAACACGAAACTCAACCATGTGACCAATGGCGATTTCAAGAGGTGGGGGGAAATACGCTTTACATAAAACACCAGCGAGTAGTGCGGCCGAGAATGTAGAGAAGTATTGGATCGTGTTTGATCCGGAGATGTTTCCTGTCATTATCGATGGAATAAACCATTTGCTGCCGTTTTCTTTTTAAACAAGGTGAGGCGGAAGCGAGGGATCCACCTGCTCGATGTTTCCCGTTTTGCTTCGATCACCTGAAAACAACCAGATCGATGGTATGTCTCTCACAGAACAGAAAATCTAACTTCTCAACATATTGTATTTCTTTATTAGAAGTTATAATGCCAGTAGCGCGGCTGTGAATGAGAAAGGGTGGAGCACTAAAGCTTTTCAATGGACTACTTAATAGCATATTATGTTCCTGTGGTCTGAGCAGGTTTAACGGTGATTCAACATCAGGCTGAATGTGTGACTCAGTTTTTTGCTCAACCTCAGAATGGAGCTCAGGAAATCCTATGATGATAATAATAAAAAAGAATAAAGCTAAACTTGCCTTTATATTCCCGACAGTAATGTGTCTTCAGCTGTTTTTAAGATGGGCATTAAATCCACGCAGTGAATGTTGGACCCAATGAAATGGACCCGAGCTGAGGCCCCCGACGCCCGAGTCCGCCCTCATTTTGCCCTGCTGGCCCCGGGGAGAGATGGCAGCGTGCCCGGATGTGCTGGTCACGCCTGGAGTTTTGGTTAGGAGTGTTTTACTGCTGGTACTGAGCAGTAACCCTGTGTTGGGTGAGTCAGTGACCGTCCCTTCATCGTCAACACAAACACACAAATAAGAGATCTGACCACACTTAGCACACACTCACACCATTATATCATGTGATGGTAATTAAAACAAAATGATAGGGGACTTTCCAGGGCAAGTGTGAAACATGCATGGGCCCGTTGTCATGTTGTAAGAACGTTTGACGGAGAACTGGCGTACACACTCTATGAGATATTCACATCAGGGTGGAGCTTATCAATAATCAAACGTGCAAAATAGTCGAATTTAACACGTTCAGCTTTCCCTTTTTGAGCATGGTGGCTCCTTCCCGTCGGCCCAGCTTCTTCTTATCAAGATGTACTTGTGTCCTTGCTAAGTTTATTTGCCCCCGGTGAATGATTGACTCATGAGATGAGTGGAAAAACATAAAACCGTCTAAATAAAATGATGTGCTGTACCTAACACAATCCCAAAACAAAAAAACATGGCAGCAAACGTTCATTCTTTTATCCATATCATTAAAGAAGGGCGTCGTTTGACTCAGCTGAGCTCAGCTCTGCATGCCTGAGCTTCTCCTCCTCCTCATTCCCTCCCTGATCAAGAAGTTACTTTTTAGTTTCGTGATGTCACTGGGTAATCACATGGCCGGTCATGGAGAAAAGGGCGGGGAAAAGCAACAGCAACTGGTGTGCGACGTTTTGTTTTTTTTGCCTTGAGAGTGTGCGTGAGTCTAATAGTGACTTCTGCCATTGGGTCCTCTGTTGTTCTACTTTGAATAATAATAACAAAAGCTTAAACTTTGATATAATCACATAGATTTTAGGCAATTTTTTGGAGTTGTCCCCTGTTAGTTAAGTAACTTATAGTTTTTTTTTGGTCATTTTTGTCTTTATCATTATGAAAACTGTAACTCCTCGCTTACTAACATGCATTTGGAAGTTTTACGGAGGATCATGAACTGGACTGCTTCTTAAGTGGACCAGGAACTTCTCAAAGTCTACAGATCATTAGGAGAAGCCAGATTACGGCAGTTGGATAGACATGCGGGCATGCGGGGCCCTGGTTACTGAAAAAACAAACGTTTAGACTACAGATTATTATTAACTATTTAGTTATAATAGGTTACCAGTTGCCAGCAGCTGGGGCGTTTGCATCGTTTCTACATCGTTACTGACGTTTTTTGCTCTTTTCGCAGGGAATTATACAACGGCAGCGAGTGGAACCACAGCTAACATCCCCACTGTGAGTAAATAACCTCCATCGTGACCACAAACCGACAGCTGAAAATGATCCGTTTTTCGATCACCAGATTCACCACCGCGCCGTGCTCATTTTCCACTTGCAGGGATCCAACATTGCAGCCATCGTGGCCCCCACGGTCACGCTGGGTGTCCTGGCCGTGGTGCTGGCTGTGCTCGGTTGGCTCTTCTGCGTGGTGAAGAAGAGGAGACAGACGGAAGGGACGTACAGACCCAGCGTGGAGGAACAATCCGGTGCGCGTGGCGTGGCGGCACCAGATGCTCTAAAGTTACCGAAGGAGGAAAGGCTCATTTGAAATTTCAGGGTGTTCTGAAAGTCCTGCATGGACAGAGACCGCGAGCAGGGATGCGCGGCATCGTTCCCGTGAGATGACCCGCTCTCTGCCTTGAGCTGATGAATGGAAGAAAAAGCTTGCGAGGTTTAAGAGAGGACACGTTTTTATTTCAACAAGCACTGAATAGGTCCTTTGCGGCGCCGTGGTAAATTGCGCCTGGATGCCCTGGATTTATATTTCAGAAAGAATTGAACATTTCAACGAGGTTTTGAACATTTCCTCGGCACAAACAACGCTTCAGTATTTTATCACCAAAACTAATTTTAGATGTTTATCTTGTTTTAGTTGCCACTTATCATGTACCGATACTTGATTTGATTCAGGCTCTTCGAAATCAATACCAATATTTTACCTCAAACTTATTTTGGTTTTTGCGACTGACTCCTGGTTAGTGAATTGTCAATGTTGTTAATCTTAAATCAATATGTGTTTCTTAGCATAAAAATGATTAGTGCGATTAAACATATTACAGCGCACAAACTCATTTGATTTTATAAAGGCAGATATTTTTTAAAAAGGAAGTTTAACTCAGCATTTGTTTACACTTCAAATACTCTAAACTTAATTAAAGACACATTTAAAGACCATTTCATCAGCAGTGAATAATGCAATATCATCATTACGCACATTTTACCATGTCCAATGTTTATTTATGCTTCTGTCAAATAAATGTTTAAAAATATAACGAATGAAACTTAACAAAGTCATTTATAGCATCTCTGGTGACATTGTCCTGTTCAAAACTAGCGATTTCTCTCTAAAATACCTGACATGTGTATTTGTGGTAATGTCACACTGGTCCAAATGAGCATTTGGATTCGGATTGACTTTCTGCCGACTGAAAAGACAGAGAGTCCATTTTGGTATTCAGTACGACATTTCAAACCCCCGGCTTCCCCTGGACTTTACATCGTATTTGCACCATGCAAATGAAGTGTTTAAATAGAAGCATCATTTGAAAACAAAAACTCAAGAGGCAGTGAAAGTGGCCTTTAATTGGATTTTATTCACCCTCCAATCTCAAGGCTTCACAGTTAAAATCACTTCCGTACGGCAGTAAGAGGACAGTTGTAAGGATGCCAATAATTCAGTGCATTCACAACCTACACAAACTCTTTCAAAAAAACTTGACTATCAGTACCCATCGATGTCTAACACTAGAGCAACAGTGCAATCTAAATGGCGGCAGGGATGAACGGGATGGCGTCGGGGGGGATTGCTGAGTTAAATGAGGTTCCGGCAGCTGGCCAGGCGTTGCAGTGTTTAAGCCACTTCCTCATCTCCGTCTTCCTCAAACTCGCCCTCCTCCGCGGTGGCGTCCTGGTACTGCTGGTACTCGGACACCAGGTCGTTCATGTTGCTCTCTGCCTCGGTGAACTCCATCTCGTCCATGCCCTCGCCGGTGTACCAGTGGAGGAAGGCCTTGCGGCGGAACATGGCGGTGAACTGCTCGGATATGCGCTTGAACAGCTCCTGGATGGCCGTGCTGTTGCCGATGAAGGTGGCGGCCATTTTGAGGCCGCGGGGCGGGATGTCGCAGACGGCGGTCTTCACGTTGTTCGGGATCCACTCGACGAAGTAGCTGCTGTTCTTGTTCTGCACGTTCAACATCTGCTCATCCACCTCCTTCATGGACATGCGTCCCCTGAACACGGCCGCCACGGTGAGGTAGCGGCCGTGACGCGGGTCACAGGCGGCCATCATGTTCTTGGCGTCGAACATCTGCTGGGTGAGCTCGGGCACGGACAGCGCGCGGTACTGCTGGCTCCCCCTGCTGGTGAGAGGCGCAAAGCCTGGCATGAAGAAGTGCAGACGGGGGAAGGGCACCATGTTGACCGCCAGTTTCCGGAGGTCGGCGTTGAGCTGTCCGGGGAAACGCAGGCACGTGGTCACCCCGCTCATGGTGGCGGACACCAAATGGTTTAGATCTCCGTAGGTAGGGGTGGTGAGTTTGAGTGTGCGGAAGCAGATGTCGTAGAGAGCCTCGTTGTCAATGCAGTAGGTCTCATCCGTGTTCTCGACCAGCTGGTGGACCGAGAGAGTGGCGTTGTAGGGCTCCACCACGGTGTCCGACACCTTGGGGGAAGGCACCACGCTGAAGGTGTTCATGATGCGGTCGGGGTACTCCTCGCGGATCTTGCTGATGAGCAGGGTGCCCATGCCGGAACCGGTGCCGCCACCCAGGGAGTGAGTGAGCTGGAAGCCCTGGAGGCAATCGCAGCTCTCTGCCTCTTTCCTCACGACGTCCAGGACGGAGTCCACCAGCTCGGCTCCCTCCGTGTAGTGGCCCTTGGCCCAGTTGTTTCCAGCTCCGCTCTGACCTGTGGCCAAGTGTCACAGTTCATCGACGTGGGGAAACAACAGTAAGCCATTTTCACGGATGTTAGAATAGGTACGTGTTCACGTGGCTTACCAAAGACGAAGTTGTCGGGTCTGAAGATCTGCCCGAAGGGACCGGACCTGACTGAATCCATCGTACCAGGCTCCAGGTCCACCAGTATGGCTCGGGGCACGTACTTTCCACCTGAAATCAGGCCGAATGGGTTGACGGGTCATTTTCTTGTAAATCTTACAAGCTTGTTGCGCAAGATGCATTTAATGTAAATCCCAAACGTAAATATAAATCCTTTCTGGTGGAAGCAGAGCTGGTTAGTCGGTGGGAAGACGGGAGATCGCTCAGGTAGCTCTGTTGGGTGTTTTGGTGGATTCAGCAGCTCACCTGTGGCCTCATTGTAATAGACGCTGATTCTGTCCAGCTGCAGATCGCTGTCGCCGTGGTAGGTACCGGTGGGATCAATGCCGTGCTCATCACTGATCACCTCCCAGAACTGAGATGAGGGAGGGGAAGATGTCAATATGGGCAAAGATTTTTTTTATTTACAAATAACGGAATATGACAAAGTCAATTACAGTACGCGAGTTGCTGAGATGGCAGACTAAGCTGTTATTAAAACATGCAAGGATTTAGATTCTCTAATTGAATGCAGATTGGGGGAGCAGTCTTTCAGTCTTAAGACGGTCTCTGGAGTAATGGAGCAGATGGCCATATAAGAACCCACTGTGCTATACTAAATATGTAACCATGCAGATGTCGAATTAACCAAATAGCAACTTGGAATTGTTGAGAAATCCGGCGTTTCACCACTGGAATTGGCCTGAAAAGAATTATAGGTATAAATGGGTCAAACAGGGCGAGGCGAGGGAGGAGAAGGGAAGGGGTGGAACTACTACGGCTACATATGGTCGTCCTCCTCCATATCGTTGCTATAACAATAGACAAATAGTTTGCATCCAATTATTAATTGAATCGTATTGTCGTGCACGAAGAACACGTATCAATAATCGAATCAGCTAAGAGAGAAATGTTTCCTCATTTGACCAAACATCAATTACGAGTGGAAGCCACACATTTGGGGGGCGGGGGGGTGTTCTAGAAAATTCCTGCAGGAGATCATCGTCCTGCGCAAGTCTCACCAGAACGACAAAGCGAAAAAGAAAAGAAAAAGGAAATCCGAATCATACCTTAGCCCCGATCTGGTTTCCGCACTGACCAGCTTGCAAATGCACAATTTCACGCATTGTGGAAAAATGGCTACGAGGACAGTGGAGCAGATGGCACACGGAGCAAGCAGAAGACTCACTGGAAGAAGGTTCCTGCGGTCGATCGTACGGGGATTAGTCTGCACCGCCTCTGAGAGACCGTCCACTGGGCGGACTCGGTGGTGCAACGTGACGTCATCGCCATGGTAACCAAAGACCGGAGGAGAGAGGGAGGGACCAAGACCCGTGGAAATGGCGGATAGGATGCGAGGGTCATCGACGCTATACTCATTATACCGACGAACTGGCACTAGGTGACGTCCACACTGATGTGCACTGTTGTGTCAGTGTAGTCTATTGTGAAGACCATGAGTGCATTCACTTTGAAGTCACACATGTAAAATAAGGATCCGTCTGAAAATATTGATATTGGCTCATGGTCTTGTGAATGCTTTGGTGTCATGATGTTCAAACAGGGAAAAACAAATGAGGAAAGGCCACGTGCAGCCATGTATTGTGCCGTGATCCTGTACGTTTTGATTGATTTCTAATGATCAAAGTTCTGCTTTACTTTCTTTAAAACTACTTTTTAATGGCCCCATTGTTCTGTTACAATGAACATGCACACAGGAAAAAACAACACACACATTTATTGTTGTATAAGAGAAAACAAGCTAGAGGAGCCGAAAGGGTGTGTCGCTTCCAATCCAGATTTCCCTTTTCCCGTGAATATCCCTCCAGCTCAACGGGGAAAAGCACCTTGTGTTTTAATACTTCAACAAATTCAAACATTTCTTTGAGTCCTCGAGCCTGTTTTTAATTTAATTTTTAATTTAAACAGCAGTTATCAATATTGTTGAATGCAGTGCATTAACAATAAAGTTACTTGTTAGCAGTTAAAACCTGTTTTCTACTGGTTTAGCCAGTCGGGTTACACGCTCTGGCTAAAAGAAATAAACCTTACTGTGAAGACAGTCGAGCGACGGTGCTGCAGTGACTAATGTATGAAATCAGTTGCAGTACGTGGTTTTTACCTCACTGCCCTGACTGACTTTAAATGACCGATTGTTTACCACGCTGTAAATCAACAAGTCAGTTTACAGCGTTTAAAAGTGTGTTGTATTGTGCTGCTGACTTGGATGTCAACGCTGGAGCACTCACGTACATATCCTGTAATATGACATTCCAAACACGCAGTCACCACCACGTGTTAGGCTATCCAACGACTGGCCAATGGGGCTTTATTTCCTGTTTCACAGTGGCTTCTGATTTAAGTTACTCCCACAAAAGTCATGCACAGGAAAAATCAAGCGCATTTGCCACTTTGTCAAGAACAATAGATGGACTGTTCGTGTGCTTTGAGGCTTCCGAGGAGACTCGTTCAAATAGGCACACGAAATGTTCTATTCTAAAATCTATTGGCAGAGAAATTATTAAGGACGTAACCTCTGGGACTTATGCTGTTTTGAACTGGGGATTTACTGCAAATGACAAGCCGGTAATCATGTCTATCTCGGAGGACGATCTCACATGCCCAATATGCTGTGACATCTTCACGGACCCTGTTTTGCTGTCATGTAGCCACAGCTTTTGCAGGAGCTGTCTGAATCGCTGTTGGGAAACAGGGTTACGTGAGTGCTCAGTGTGCAGGAAGAAACCCTCCAAGGCCAAGCCTCCCTCCAATTTGGCTCTCAGAAATGTCTGTCAGGCCCTTCTGGAGGCCAGGAGGAGTTCGGCGCTGGACGAGAAGATGAACTGCAATCTGCACGGGGAGAAGTTGAAACTCTTCTGCCTGGAGGACAAACAGCCAATCTGTCTGGTGTGCCAGACCTCCAAACTGCACAAGAGTCACGACTGCTCGCCGATAGATGAGGCGGTCCAGGACTGCAAGGTAAGGCTCATAATCATATGACTGTTTTCACCAACTAGCCATTCAAGATGGCGCCTGGCGCTAGAATGCTGCTCTACTAGTCTGTTCTGATTCTTCACTCAACGTACAGAAACATTTTGAAGCTGACTTTGCTGACTTAGGCCTGCTTGATTTCCAGGACGAGCTTGCTTTGTCCCTCAAGAACTTGCAAGTTAAAGAGGACAACCTCAAAAGAATTCACATGACCTCTACATACATGTCCATGTACATCAAGGTAACCGTGATTAGATGACAGCAGTTTTGTTCATTGACTTAAAAAAAAAAATCTATCTGGATAAATGACCAACCATTTGGAATCATCTCGCTCAGAGTCAAGCACTGGAAACACAGAGACGGATCAAGGGCCACTTTGAGCAACTCCATCAAGTCCTCTACCAAGAGGAGTCGGCCAGAATAGCGGCTGTGAAGAAAGAGGAGGAAGAGAAGATCGCAGGAATAAAGGATATGGTTAAAGAACAATCAGCAGAAGAGCAGTCAGTCACAGAGACCATCTCAGCCATACAGGAGCAGCTGGAAGAAGATGAAATTGTCTTATTAAAGGTATGTCACCTTAACATTACCCCCCCCCCAAAAAAAAATCTTCCCATCATGACTGTTTTTCCTGTTTTTCCAGAATTTTAAAGCCATTCAGGACAGGTAGGTGAACACAGTTTTTTACAATCTTTGTGTTGATTGTCACATATTCTCAGAGTAACATATCTGTTGTATCACAGAGAAAGAAGCATAGCCCCTGGTTCAGAAAACATGTCTGGGTTACTGATTGATGTGGCCAAACATCTCTGCAACCTCCAGTATAACGTCTGGGAGAAAATACTGGACCATATTGATTACAGTGAGTACACATGTTATTTCTTCAGCTTCAGGGGCACAAAGAGTGGAATCGTAAAGACTGTGTTTAACAAATCAACCTTTCTGCTTGCATCACGACTTTAAGCTCCTGTGACTTTGGACCCAAATACAGCACACCCCTGCCTCATCCTGTCTGACAACCTCACTTCCCTCCGCTACTCCAATCAGCAGAGCGGTTGCCCCGACAATGCGGAGCGCTTCCACATGAGCGCTGAAGTGGCAGGCGCGACCTCACTGGGCTCAGGAAGCCATCACTGGGTTGTAGAGACAGGAAGTAATCAGGACTGGCTCCTGGGCGCGGCCTCTTCTTCTGTCCCGAGGAACTCTGAGATCTCCGCTCGCCCCGAGAACGGATTCTGGACTCTGTGTTTCCGAAACGGGGAGTTCAGGGCAATGACCTCGCCTCCCACCACACTTTCGGTCACAAGGGCACCCGAACAAATCAAAGTGCATCTGGATTACGACAAAGGGACGGTGTCCTTCTTTGACCCTGCTGATGACATGCTTATTTATGCGTTTTCACACACGTTCACGGAAACTTTACTTCCATATTTTTATACACAGAGCAGCCATCCGTTAAGAATAATGCCAGAGAAGGTTCTTGTCACAGTGTTGCGTCAATGAGTGGACCGAAGGTTTTAAAAATTATAGAGGAAAATATGATACCAGTCTTATTTGGATGAATACCAAAACATTTTATGTTGGGATTGGTGCATTTACTGGCTCTACTATTCATTTCTATTATAGAAGACATGGAAGGTATTAATCATCTAAGTGTGCAGACTGAGAGGTTTGATTTTAGGCTGTATTGAATTGATTTGATTTCAAAACCTATGCGCGTATTTCACAAAATGTAGAACAATTCCTTTAATGGCAAAAGTGATGATAATGCTGAATATACATTGCTCACTGGAGGAAGAGGAGAGAGCTCATTTGTGTTTTAGGGTTGTTCATAAGTGGGTTTTGGTTGGTTCAAGAGCTTTCTTTATTTAATGATCTTTTGAATTGTCAGCAACTCACATCCAAATCACTTATACTGCTGTGCAGTTACGCACCATGAACTTTAAAAAAAATGCAGATGACACACACATCCCATTAGTCGTACATGAAGGGATGGATAGGTGCCCTAAAGATTTGTTTTCAGCCAGTTGCACTGCAAGACAATTAACGTTGCAGAAAAGCGTAGCTAATTGGTACGTCCATGTATTAAATATGCTCTTGAATTTACATGCATTTAGCCCATAAAATCTATCATGGGGTATGGCAATAGTGCTTGTTAAAATAATATAGTGTTATGTGCAAACCTCTTAATAATTAAAAAATGGCTTCTGTTCAAGGCCTACGGACCTACATACAGATTAGAATGTATTAGAGAGGCAGAGAGCCTTCACATCTTCCGACGCAAACTAAAGACACATCTCTTTGGACTCTACCTCGACTAAAAGACTAACAAATTGTAGCACTTAAATTGTACTTGGAACTTGTTATCTCTATAGCCACTTATCGCTATAGCAAATTGTAAAATTGGCTTATTTGAGGAAATTGCACTTTCTTGTTTCTTGCTCCTCTGAGTTTGTATCCCATATGGATGAATGTACTTATTGTAAGTCGCTTTCGATAAAAGCGTCAGCTAAGTGACATGTAATGTAATGTAATATTGGGTAAATTCATCTCAAATGTTGCTGATATAACAGAATAGTGGTTTCTGGAAGAGGTTAAGACAATTTAAGAGGTAATAGTAATTTAGTTGACATTTAGTGTTTAAACTAGGATGTACGATTCAAAGCTTCACACAGCCACATTTTATTACAAATATTGATCAAGCCATAGTCTGGTTTATATTTATTGTGTAACTACCATAGTTGGGCCAATGATACTGTATAGCTCAGTGTTTTTCTGTGTTGTACACACGATGGCGCCAAAGCCAAACAAGAATTGTAAAGGAAGGTTTTTATTAGACCACTTTGAAAACATCAAAACCAAATACCGTTTGTACAAATGAATCTCCATGAACATCATCTGTTCATGAAGATATTGAATTAAAATGGGGATTTTTCACTCGTTGACTTTTGATGTTTTTATATTCATTATTTGGAAAACAAATGCACAAGAGATGAAAAACAAGTCACAAAAAGGAAACATGAATGTACAGTTGCATTGCATCAGCGTATTTCTCACGCAGCTCTTCTGCTAAACTGAACGTCCACCACCATTGATATACATATATATTCTTGAACTTAAGTAGATGAGATTTGTGCTGGTGAGATTTTGTGTTTCTTTGCAGACAAACAGTTGCAGCACTTTTGGACGCAGGTGTTCGGCAGGAAAGGCAGCTTCTCCAGCCGGGACAGATAAACAATCGGCTGGATCGTGCTGCTGATGTTGACAAAAGCGAAGCCCACAGGCTGCACATAGCAGCGAAACACCTCAGGGGAATAGTGGTCTTGAAAAGGGAACAGTGCTACAGGTGGCAGGTAGTTAAACACAATGATACAAAGGAGAGACAGCACCGTCTTGAAGGCCTTCTTCTTCATGGGGTGCATCTCGTCTTTCCCTGCACCGCGGGACTTCTTCAGGGCCCACAGGACGCACACATTGCACAACATCATCCAACTAAATGCTACCAGGATCTGAACGGTGAATACCTTCTCAAAGTTGGGAAGGCCTCCCACAGTTTTGGCTGCAGAGTATGCAAAGGTGAGGCACAACACCAGCACAGAGAGGCTTAATCTGTACTTGATGGGTTTGAACTGGCCGAACTGGACTGGAAAGATCACAGCCACAAAGCGATCGAGGCAAATGCAGGACAGAAACAGTGGCCCACTTGTGTCTTTCACCCCATAGGAGAACTTAAGGGCGAACCACACCGCTTTGCTGTGCCAGTAGTACAAGTTTAGGAAGCTGAAGGGGGTCATGGTACCAAAGTAGAAATCCATGAAAGCAAGGCAGCCCAAGAAGATGTCAGAAGTTGAGGGGTTCTTACGGCTGCGGATGAGGATCACGAGGGCCGCTAAGTTGGCGGGGATTCCCACGAGTACGTTGATGCTCTGCACGGTCAGGTCAAAGAGAATGCCTTCAACCTGATGCTCGCACCCTTCAAACACACTGAACGGTTTCACTGTGGCGTTGATGTCAGCGGTGGTGTTGGGAGGGAGTGGCGTCGGGAGGGAGGTTGAGTTCAGAGGCGAAGATGCGTTTCCCTGCATGATTCCGTCTCTGCAAAAGGACTGTGAGGGGAGAATAATGAGAATGTTGGTGAGGGGGTTTAACATGGTCACCCACAAACAAGGCACATTTCCTTATGAAGGCAAGTGTTCATCACGGGGACTCGCACTCGGATCGCGTTTTCTAGCTCAGTAGAAATGTTTCAGTCAAACAGTGTTCATCAGAGTCCTTAAGTCTGATCTGCAGAGAAGTTAAAGTAGAGCTAAAGTAGCCCCAGAGTGCACCGAGGCGCTTTACGAAGACAAACAAAAACACGCAACAAACACCGTCAGGGCTTCTCTTCAGGCTGTTATCTTGTTATTGTGACTGTGAGGACCTTCCTCTGGGAAGAGTGGCTCCCTGTATGCAGGGACATCAAACTCGCTTAAGGGACTAACAATATAGGTCCCGCCCTTTCACTGCACCATAAAAGAGCAACTGATCCCTAATACAAATGGTAATTTTACCTTCACTTACCACTGTTAGTAAACTACTGAAATAAAAAAATGTGGTTAAATCCTGCAGATTTTAAAAGCTGTTTTTCTCGCTATTCTTAAAGCTAATTTCTGGCATTAGTGAATCAGAACGCGTAGAACATAATACAACCTTTTATCTTGGATAAATACTTATACTTAATACAAATGATGTTTAGGATTAAATAAACTGTTAATATAAAAAGACAATAGAACATTTTTACAGGACTTGTCTCCTCCAGTGGTTCCTATAAATCTCTCGATCTTTAAGTTTTAATGTTAGAAAAGGGGCACTTCTGCACGAGGCAGAAGAGATCAGCCATGATCAGGAATTTGCTTGTATTTTCCTGTGATCTTTTTTCCTACACTGCATGATTATTGTCAGCGGTTCCATGTCAAGCTGGTGGGCACAATCTGCATGGTCAATGTTCCATGCTCTGTTAGTAGCAATGCTTAGCTAATCGTGCATGTTAAATAATATTAAACCCTGTGAGAATAAATTATCATCATGAAAAACAATCACAGCACAGTTTTGACCCAGAGAGCAGACCAGAAAAGGAAGATAACATTTGGAATCAATGAACCAATGTGTGGATTGATTGGATTAATAACTGGTGGACATGAAGGAAACCATTAGAGATGTCCTGGGCCATTGTTTGTCTCAAAAGAAGACCACAAGTGGATGTTTTTTATATTGGACCTCCCTGCCCCACCTTCCACCACACCTCTGTGCTACAGGATTCGGGCTGATGTGCATGAGTTTCTTTTTACATGCAGTTCTTCGGAGCTCCCTCCACGGAATGGACTACTGGAGCCGGAGGCTGTGATTGTTCCTTGTTCAGCCATCAAGGGACCTATTTTGGTGTAATGTGGACCTTCGCTCCCTCAGTGGATGGTGTTTCTCACCTCGCTCTGCTGACGGCTCCACCTTAGGCCACACACACTCCTGTGGGGCCAATCACACAAGTGAAGCTCTTTGCCAAGATGACCGTCCCTGGAGGTAGCAGACTCAAATCAATTGGGTTTTTCTTCAGGCAAATAAACAAAAAATGTTGAAATATTAACACGCAGAACACAATTTTAGTGATATAATTTTCTTGTACTTGAGATTAGTAGTTCAAGTAATAATACAGATAAATTTAGCCTAAAAATCTTTGAAGACTTAACCAAAATCTCTACAATGAACAACCCTTTCACAGCTGCAGATGTAATAGACCATTTGAGTAATCAATACGTGCTTAATGCATAAAGATCCTTTTTAAAAATATGTCCAGTCCCTGATTTTGAAGTAGCATAAGGTGAGAGGAAACCTACTTCTCATTGTAACATTCTGTCAAAATGGAGTTAAACATTCTCCATTGTTTACATAATCTTACCCATACATTTAATTAATCCCAGCAAATAATGTCAAACTTATGAAATAAATATCCAGCTGTCCGTGCTCTCACTTAATGATAACCCGAGCGTTTCAGAAGTGGTAACACCTATATGATTTTCACTTACCTGTGTGGAGAACTTCTTCTTTGCCGTGAACAGAAGTGTGCATTTCATTTATAAGTTGTGTGAAGTGGCGTGACTTTGACGCTCGCCGGGAGGGGAGGATCCCTGGGATGTCATGAGCAAACCTCTTCATTAAGAAGGCCCGGTGCCCCCCTATACAGCCCAAAGTCCTGAAACGCTCAGGGACTTAAATGCTGCGATTGCTTAAAATGGTATAACTGAATAAGACAGAAAACACTGATGAGGAGGTTGTGTTGGGTCACAATCTAATGCTGATTCCTAAAAAGGGTTCATAAATGGCACAAAATGTATTCCAGAGAGCCCTCAAACACTCAACAATTTGACAGCCCTAAATCCTCACAGACGAACCGAATAAACATGAATCTGCAACAGAAGACATAAAAAAATACAACAAATAGAAAATCTGAAACATCTCAATACTGATGACATGAAAGCAAAAGACAGATAAACTAATAAAAGAATTAAAATACTGTATCATAATACCAAGAAACATAGCCGGACTGTTATAGACCACCAATAGAGTGTCCGTAGGCCTGTGTGTGAGTATGTGACAGAGTATTCAGATTGATGCTTTTACTGAGTGGCTGATTGAATTCGAACCTCTGCGTAGGCCAGTAGATCCCAATGTTCTGTTCCCGGGTGAACACAAGACAAAAGGTCGATTGATCCTTTGTCTAATTGTGGTTGGAATTACCACGAGAGAACAGTGTCACTCAGATGTTCTACCTCTTTTTTTTGTTGAGCGAGGCAGTAGTGGTCTGCGCTCCATGCGAGATATTCAATGCAAATCATTTTTTACAATTAGAAGTGGAAGCCTTTGCAGACATGTAAGGACATTTACATGATATTTAATCCAACACCTCAATGATACATCAACTATATCAACAATGGTGTCAGTGTCACCAGGGCAAGCAGAATTATGAAATTAACATTTTGAAGGAAAATTATATCCATTGGAGAAACCGGTCTGATCAAAAAAGAACACCTAGGCTTGGATAAATGTACTTCCATTTGATATTTAGGATTCAATCAAATGGTAATAAAGATAGGCACTGGAGCACAAGATATATTCTTGCCTGCTCTCATGCTTCACATAATCAAAATGGAGTTGAGTCACATCTTACATAAACACATTGTAAAATCACGCTGTTAGGAAACCTCTCCCTCTTTTCCCACTTCCTGTCTCAAATGTATTCATATTAACAAAGGGGCACTGGTGCAGGAGGAAGTGTAGATCAGTCATGATCATGCATTTGCATATATTTCCCTGCTGGTCGAGAAGCTGGAAGCAGGACTGTGTCATTTTAGACGCTGTGCCGAAACCGTCTGCACCAAATCATGCAAATTTTAGTTCAGACATTATCATGAAAAAACATCCACTGAAATTTGAATCATACAATTGACTGACACTAATTTAGGTGCATACATTCAGGCTCCCTTCACCACTGTAACCACCGGGTGATCCTTTACTTACTTTTTGACCAAACGTCATGTTCACGTTCCCACAGGAAAGTAGTGAAACAAACCGGGTGTCATACTTTTCTTCTGATTCTGGACTTAACCCACCACTCGCAAAGGCCAAAGACCAGAGCACGATAATTGCTTAAAACCTTTTTCTTTTTTCTCACAGACACTATTAACACTATGATTAAGAAGACACCGCAGTGTTAATTATCCACAATTAAGAGGAATGTAACATAAGTCAGTCCCCTACTGTGCAGGGGAGGGGAACAAGCACCCGAGGTCAGCTGCACCACTGGTTAGTTGCCTCTTAGATCTATTATCCTAAAAACGTCACTTGATGGCCGCCCTCTGAACCGTACCTGGGACCAGTCTGCCGACATGGCTCAAACTCCACAAAGCCCAACTCTGGAGGGAGGAGAGAGAGACACACGGGGTGAGTCGGCATGCACAATGGGGCCACGGCCCAACTGGAAGGATCAGGGCTAGAATGCATGTTATTAATTCAACCTGTGCTTACCCTCTAAGGACATTTCAATGGTTCCTATGAGCTACTGAGGGCTACTGGCTCTTTGGTATTCCTCTTAAACATTGTGCGTGTGAACGCAGCTCCAACAGACAGAACGTTGCCGTTTGTAGAGGATGCAGCTTAAATATGTAGTTTATTTTTGCGTTGGAATCACGTGTCACAATGGGAGAATGAATCTAAAGACAGATATGTGGATGATGAAAATCCCATTAGAAAACATCGGGCCTCATGCACAGAAATTGGACAAATTTAACAACAAACTTAGGAAGATATTACTGAGCAAGGCCCAGAGTCACACAGCTGTTCTGTGTTTTTAAGCTTGCTGCCCTGTAATGGTTGTGAGAGATGGATGTGGCTGTAACTGAATCCTGTGTGCGTAATGGGGAGAAAGGGAAAAAAAAGACTTTTTGAAGGAATTTTGAACAGCAGTGAAAGTCTTCTATACAAGGACACACCTTGCAGAAACCTTCATTGATCAATCTACACTCTGCTTGAGATCAGAGAGAGAGAGAGAGAGAGAGAGAGAGAAGAAACAAAAAACAGACCTTCCATTTAAACAATATGTGCAGTTACAAGGGCATCAATTATGGTTAATGTCTCATCATCAACAGATTATTTTTTTAGAAATCAGTGGAGATTTCGGTCTAATTTGAATAGACAAATGAATTTTTTACATAAGCTGCATGTGCTAAGCTCCCGCGGATGAACAGACATATGGGTGGGCAGCTCCTCAGCTCACTCCTTTTAATGGGATTCTTGCACACTTACACAGAGGAACTAACGTGTGACGTGGAGTCAAAATAGGATCCCAGTGGCTTTTCACCCATTATTACAAGTATGGCTTTCTAAGTACATTACAATGCAGTAACCACCATAGTTATGGCCGTTAACTAGACAACAAACAAAGAAACAGCCCAGAGTTTCATTTAGCAGTCACGGGATCCAATTATAGAATCAACCGCAGGACTTCATTAACAATTCAGGTATTAAATGCACAAAGAGCAAGAAGACTCTGTATTCAGTGTGTGATAATAACATGGCATTACTAAAGCTTAATGCTGTGTTATCCATCCACGTCAGAAGAACACAGACAAACACAGTTTGTTTAAAGAAAAATAATTTCCAGAAATAACTGGCACTTGACAAAGGCCCTTTCGGGTTGATTACAGTTTTTGTACGCTTATATCCACAATGAGTACAATTGCTATTGGAGTGCAACATTGATCAGAGCGTATCAGTGCAGTTTGACATCCAACTACAGTCAGGTTATGTTATAGGAATTGGTATTTAGGTAAATGTAGGTATTTTTATTTATTTTACAGCTTCCTCTTTTTTTGGAGGCCCAAGTTAATGGGTTCAAAGATGCTATTAGTTATCAGTACCCTAAATTTCAGTAAGTTTGTGTCTCTATGTACTCGCAGAGGTTGTGTCTTTCATGAACGCAAATCTGCTAATAGCATAAGATCCATAAGATGCGTATTTAAGCGCATTGGCATTGTAGATTAACAATACATCAACTCTTGACAACCAGTCCAGGGTGGATCCAGTATCTCGACTCCACCCCCCCCTCAAAGGATGAGCGGTAGGAAAAAGGGAATGAAATGATTGAAATATTGAAATATATTGAATCTCTGAAACAATTTCTACTGGGCGGCTCTTTTGTTTGTGTTATTTACTGGGAACAAAGAAACCACTTGACCCCTGTTGAAGCCTCTGAGGAGAGATTTGACTCCTTCTGTAATGCAGAGCCTGCCGGATGTAAGAGTGAGTTTACAAAATGAAGGGAGGAACAAAAGGTAGTGATAGGAGTAGGAAGATAACAAATGGCTATTTTTACTCTCAAGGACACGGTCCAACTCTGTGACAGGAGCTGCTGGGCTCTATTGTACCTCCTCAGTCCAAAGTAATAAACACCTGTCGCTGTTCACAGAATAATTATACACACTGTTGGAGCTGGCCTGTCAGGGAGAACGTAGCCTTTCACTTCTTCAAAGGTCATGGTTAAGGTTATTTCAAAAGGCGCTTGGCAATAGAACACAATGTAGCCCTGGCTACATTACTTCAAATGGGACCATGATTTTACTAAATGATCATCATAATGAAGAAGATTTAAAACTGGCAGCTGAGACCACAATCTCATGTTTACAATGTGTACTGAGGGGAAACATCAATTGAGAACTAGAGGCATTTTGTCTCATTCGTTTATATAATCATTCACTTCTTTTGCATTATTTATTCTAGCCTCCACTGTGTAGCATTTGTAAGCAAGATGCAAACGTTGGATACATTTGAGTTTTTTGATCTATTGTTAATAAGGATTTCAGTAACTTAAAGTTCTCTTGCAAAACATCAATGTTTACTACTACATTACAAAGCTATTTATTATGTTTATGAATGATAAATAGGTTGGTTCAAGTTATGTGTTAACGGTGCTCGGCAGTAAGTCGAAGGCGTTTCCGGTGGGGGTTGGCCTTCGCCAGGGCTGCGCCTTGTCACCAATCTTGTTTGTGGTCTTCATGGACAGGATATCGAGGCGTAGTCGGGGGGAGGAGGGTCTACAGTTCGGGGGGCTGCGGATCTCATCGCTGCTTTTTGCAGATGATGTGGTCCTGATGGCATCTTCCGTCTGTGACCTCCAACTCTCACTGGAGCGTTTCGCAGTCAAGTGTGAAGCGGTCGGGATGAGGATTAGCACCTCTAAATCTGAGGCCATGGTTCTCAGCAGGAAACCGATGGATTGCCTACTCCAGGTAGGGAATGTGTCCTTACCCCAAGTGAAGGAGTTCAAGTACCTCGGGGTCTTGTTCACGAGTGAGGGGAAGATGGACTGTGAGTTTGGCCGGAGAATCGGAGCAGCGGGGGCGGTATTGCACACGCTTTACCGCACCGTTGTGACGAAAAGAGAGCTGAGTCGGAAGGCAAAGCTCTCGATCTACCGGTCAATCTTCGTTCCTA